CCGGCGGCGCCGCATCAGCATGGCGGGAATCCTCCTTGTGCTTCGGGGATTTGAGCAAATCTTCTGATTTGATGGAAGACAGCGAGGTTGGGGGTATATAGCGAGCGTAGAATGCCATCTTTGGGATGTCTGGATGGAACCCAGCTCTGGAGACGTGAGAAGCACCTTGCTCTCTCTCCTCGTGATTTTGGGTTGGACGGGGAAATTCTCTGGGTTGAGGCAGAAAGACACACCGCCCTTCCAAACTCAATAAGTACTTAACTAGTTAACTGACTGACTGCATTTTTGAGTTGAAAAGCTCCAGGCTGGCTAACCCAATATACGTTGCTTCGCACAACCCCCTCGAAGAACCGCGAGTTTCAACGGTATCGCCGGGCCGACAAAGCTGGAGCTCGACTGGAGGCCTGGCACGGTTCTCCTTAGCTAACTGCGCCTTTCAGCTTCCGGCCGTAAGAGGGGTGTGAGAAGAGGATCTGTGACGGACGGCTCAGTTCAAACTATCTCCATTGCCGGCCATGACCTTTCTCGCCTCCGTAGAACCATCACCACAATGCCTTACAACATTGCGTGAGTGCGACGAAACGCGAGAACTGCCTGATGCTGAATTCTGACGACCCTATAGGATGATAAGCGACTTCTTCTTCCCCCAGCCTGGTAAGGATCGGGCCTTTATTTTTTTTTTTCCTTTTCTTTTTTGCAAGTTATTGATCAACGACTTGCTGATATCCCTATTTAGGCGGAGTGGAAAGTCACATATACCAACTCTCGACGGTGAGCCTGGAATTTAACCTAGTCTTCACGCTCTCGACTCATTGGACCGGCAGAAATTGATTGATCGGGGACATAAAGTGGTTATCGTCACTCATGCATACAAGGGGCGAACCGGAGTACGATACCTAACGAACGGCCTGAAGGTCTATCATGTCCCTTTTTTTGTCATCTACCGAGAGTCCACAATGCCGACGGTATTCTCCTTCTTCCCCATGTTCCGTAATATCGTCATTCGAGAACGGATAGAGATCGTCCATGCCCACCAGAGCCTGAGTAGCTTCTGCCACGAAGCAATCCTCCATGCAAGAACCATGGGTCTGCGGACAGTTTTCACAGACCATTCGCTGTATGGATTTGCAGATGCCGGCTCTATACTGACGAACAAGCTCATAAAGTTTACGTTGAGCGACGTTGACCATGTGATATGTGTTAGCCATACTTGGTACGCCAGTACAGCAGCCTTCATTGCTCTACGGACCCTCCTACTAACCATCCGTTTTCAGCAAAGAGAACACGGTGCTTAGGGCCTCTTTAGACCCACTGATGGTGTCGGTCATTCCGAACGCGCTGGTGCCTGAAAACTTCCGGCCGTTGCGTTATGCCGACCGTCGGGATGATCGAGGAGAACAGGTTCTGAGATCCGCACCACGGCTCTTAGGTCCCGATGACACGATCACCATCGTGGTTGTTTCCCGTCTCTTCTATAATAAAGGAACGGATCTTTTGATTGCAGCAATTCCAAGGATTCTCGAAGCGCATCCTAACGTGCGCTTTATCATTGCGGGAAGCGGGCCGAAGGCAATTGATCTCGAGCAGATGCTGGAACGGAACGTACTCCAGGATAAGGTAGAATTACTGGGGCCTATCCGCCACGAAGAGGTTCGGGATGTGATGATTAGAGGCCATATATACCTTCACCCCAGCCTGACTGAGGCTTTTGGTACCGTGATAGTTGAAGCCGCGAGCTGTGGCTTATATGTCGTATGCACGCGGGTTGGAGGAATCCCGGAGGTCCTGCCCCAACACATGACTACATTTGCCAAACCTGAGGAAGACGACCTCGTGCAAGCCACAGGGAGAGCGATAGCCGCCCTTCGGTCGAATAAGGTGCGTACCGACAGATTCCACGATCAGGTCCGGATGATGTATTCGTGGACGGATGTGGCTCGGCGTACGGAACGTGTTTATAACGGCATATGTGGTGCAATCAGTGAAGAAGAGTTTTACGGTTACCTCCCCGGCGAGAGCTGGACAGGAGCCCGGGGCCGAGAACATAGTTTCGCACTCATTGATCGTCTAAAACGATATTATGGGTGTGGTATCTGGGCTGGTAAACTCTTTTGCCTCTGTGTTGTTATTGATTTTCTCCTCTACGTCTTCCTTGAATTTTGGATGCCTCGCACCAGCATCGATATCGCGCGGGATTGGCCGAAGAAGGTTAATCATGAACATGGGCGACATCGGACAGGGCAAGCCCCCTTTAACAGTTCTAGCGTGCGTTCTCAGGATTCTTGACGAAGAAAAGAGAACCCTTCCAGCTACGCTTACTCTGTTGATCTGCTACTCACCAGCCTTGTTCGTTTCGAAGGCTCCTGGAGCTACGCAGACGCCCCGGTCAGTCTGCGGATGTTCGTGGGAGGCGCCCACTTTCGACCCGCCGCACGATACATTTCTTCCTCGTTTTCTCTCTGATGTTATCTTAGAACCTGCTTTCCGGACATTGATACCCCTTTCATACGCATATCATCTTTTGTTCAAAAAAAAATCTTACAAGTGTTCCAAAACAACTGTGTTGACGTCGAATATAGAATTCTCATACAAATAATCATTAATATTCTGTACAATAATTCACATACAAGCTGCCCGCTGTAGTCCGGGTGCACTGGCTCCCGTTGCCCAACCAGACATCCCACTCTTACACTCGATGTCTGTGTTTAGGATGAGCTGCTTCTCCAGTCGAAGTGGCACCAGTGGGAAGATCCAATCTGAAAAAATAGTTGAAGAGCTAGCGTAGCACCTGCCAAACCCTGACTCTGCTCCCCTTGAGGCGAGGGTGTCGTTCTCTTAAGAGCATTCAAGACGGATATACTCATTAACTGGCTGACGAAGGCGAAGAGCTCTGCAGTAACACATGGCACGCTGGTATTTCCGGCCTTTGCGTGAAGGGTGGAATGTCAAGACGCTGTCAGGAGGCCATACGTAAAAAAAAAAAAAAAAGAAAGGAAACGAAAAAAGCAAAAAGAAAAAGAAAAAAAAGAGATATTATGTTCAACAAAGGTTGAAGTAGCATATCTGCTCCGTTTGCAACTACAGGATTACTCTATCTGCTGAAGGAAATCAGTGGACTGACAAAAGAAGCTCCACTGGAGGCTGGCTGGTACAAAGAAAAGCAATCAACGCCTGGGTATATTTATATTTACTACTATCTCATCACCGGCGGTCTCGTCTCCTTATTCCACCTCACGCGGCTACGTACCCATTCCACGGCTTCCCGGACTCCAGCGCCCATGAGAGCGCTGACGGGCAAAACTCTGCTGTCTCGCACACCACCGCCTTCCTCACCCTCGAATACCTTTCGCACGAATCCCTCTTTGATACGGACCACCTCGACACAGTCCTCCCTATCCTGCTTGTTTGCGAGAACGAGGATGGGTACGCCGATGGCATCAGAGTGCTGCAAAACGGATTCCAGAACCTGCCGGCACTCGTTGAGCCGACCAAAGTTGCCCGCGGGGTCTATGGGTTTCAGTCGTTCGTCAGCGGGTTCGGGATCATGGGCGGAAGGATCCGATGCTTTCGAGGAGCCCAGACGAGAGACGTCCGCGTCGTCCCCGACGTCAGCGCTGTCGACGACGAAGATGATGGCGTGGCAGCTGGTGTAGTAGCTCTGCCACAGGCCTCGCATGGAGATCTGGCCGCCGACGTCCCAGATCTTCAAGTACATGTCCTGCAGAGGAATGGTGGCGACGTTCTGCCCGACGGTGGGGACGGTCCTCCCGACGTCTGATCTGCGGGGGTCATCGGTGTTTGGGGAAGGGAGGTAGAGGGTCTTTATCTGGTTGAGAAGCGTGGTCTTTCCGGCGTTGTCCAGGCCGAGGAGGAGGACGGAGTATTCTGGAGCGAGTCAGGATGGCGAACGGGAGGACCTGCATTTGGGGGGGGGGGGGGGGGGGAATTTTTCCCCCCCTCCCCCATAAGATAATCACTCACCTTCTCTACTTGTAGCATAAAAGTAGAGTGACTTTGCTAGATGGTACATTCTTCTTCTTAAAGTGGAGGCCGGAGGGTCATGGCATCGGTCGCTGCAACACCATCGCTCTCCCTGCCACGGTGCGCGCGGGGAGGAAAGGAAAGCCGAGCGGCACACCACGGAGAGTCAGCTCCCACGTCTTGCTGCAAGTCCCTAGGATGAGCTGATCTCCACCCCACTGTCCATCAGACACGGTAAAAAAGGAATACGATGAGCGGCTGGATCAGCAGCTCGCCGACCGGGTTCCCGTTATCCTTCTTTTTTTTTGGTCCCTCCTGGATTTTCACACCTCCAGCTGTCTTCGTAACGAACGAACTATTCCAATGGACAGTTGATCCTCGGCGAAACCGTTGCTCCGACGACCGATGGATTTGTCAGCGTGATTCCGGAGTTAACTTAACTACTAGTTAACTAGTTAGTTTAGTTAATAATAGAAAAATTCATTGAAAAAAAAAAAAAAAAATATTGGTGGTCAGTTAGTTAATTAGTTACATTTGCTGCATCGCCAAAAAAAAAAAAATATTGGTGGTCAGTTAGTTAATTAGTTACATTTGCTGCATCGCCAAAAAAAAAGAAGAAGAGTTGCACCTGAAAAAGGGACGGATCTTTGATTAGAAATCAAGTATCAATTGCATTTTTAAGCTTCTCCTCCGGTCTCCATTCTATCCCGAGACCAAGGAAAAAGAGAAACCATAAAAAAGACGAAGAAATTTTTTTGGGAAGTAAAAAAAAAAAAAAAAAAAATCAAAATCGTGAGGAGATGGCTGTGAACCCCACATGTCCCAGATGTCCCAATTTTTCTCCAATTCTTCCGACCGATGATGGAGGAAGCGCTGTTGCTTTCCATCTGCCCATCTCCTCTGTCTGATCTTTTTGTTTCCATTGACTCGGAAGCAGAGCGCGGCTGAAGAGTCCATACATTCTCCTCGCTCTCTCTTTCTCTCTCTCTCTCTCTCTCTCTCTCTCTCCCTCCCCCTCTCCCCGCTTCGCCCCGCGCATCCTTGCATGACCTCAACCAACCCCCAGAACATGTGATGGCGAGCAGCGCCTAATCAATGGCTGCGACCGCACCTGAACCGTCGTCCACCGACGTGGTCATCGTGGGTGAGTCGATGCAGACACGCTGGTCTTTGACCTCTGCCTAACGCATCCATATCAAGGTAATGGGCCATCCGCACTTCTACTATCGTACATCCTCCATGGAAACATCCCATTCTACAACCCGCGGACCCCCCATCCGGACCCCATCCTCCACGAGAAGCTGAAGGATGCGCCTAAGCTTCTCGACCTGGATGTCGACAAGTTGACTGATCATTTCGAGGCCTCGCGGTACTCGTACTCGACCCAGGCTCTTCCGCTCAACTCGCTTCTGGACTCTCTCGCACGTCCCAACGCAGACACGGATGACACAGAGAGGAATACTTGCCTGGAGTGGCGCCATTTGCCAGAAGCAGCTGTTCCCCACGTGGTCCTAGGAGACGCCCCCCGCCCCGGAGGGCAATGGACGGAGTGTCCAAAGCGGACGACATGGGACATCCAGTCCCTCAGTTATGCGGGAATGCTATCCCTTCCAGGATACAGTTTTGCAGAGTATCATCAAGACCGCTTTGGATCAAAACTGCCTCCTTTCACGCGGCCTTCGAGGCGGGAGATAGCAGACTACTATACCGCCTATCCGGCTGCAGTCGGGATTTCCGACTCGGTCAGGTCCGCAGAGACCGTCGCAAACATCTCCCGCACCGATAGCGGATTTTATATTGCATCGCACAACCTCAGTTGCAAATTCCTTGTCTTGGCATCGGGAATCTTCACAGAACCCAAGCCAGCGCGGCCACTTCTCCAGCCGCTCCTTGATATCCCAGCCTCACGCTCTACCCAGCCAGCGGCCAGAAACCCCCTCTTGGTGATTGGATCAGGGTTTTCCGCCGCAGATGCCATTATTTCCGCTCCCAAGGATCAGAAAATTATTCATATCTTTAAATGGGATGATAAAAGACCCTCACCGCTAAAGGCCTGCCACCAGCAGGCATATCCAGAATATGCTGGTATATATAGACTCATGAAGAGGAGTTCTTCGGCCAATTTGCGAGAGCCCTCTGATGGGCGCGAACGGTCATGGCTTCGACCGGCAAGCCTGACTCCTTTCTTGAAAAGTAGAGAGTGGGCCAGTATCTACGAGGGCTTGCCCAATACATTGGTGACAGATACAGGGTCAAATGACAAAGGGGCAGTTGTTACGCTGCAGCTCCAGGATGGTACGATCTTGCAACGTCAAGTCTCCGGGTTGGCATACGCTGTCGGCCGCCAAGGCTCACTGGAATACCTTGATGAATCCGTCAGGAGCGAGGTCATACCCGGTGACGATAAGGACAGCATCACAACAGGGTCGATATCCGCGTCAACTCTTCGTAATGCAGCTCTGGCGGACCTGGAAGTTGCGCGGAACATTTTTATCATCGGAAGCCTGACTGGCGACTCTTTGATTCGCTTTGCGTATGGAGGATGTGTGTATGTGGCCGGGAAGCTAGTATCCCGTGAAACCCGCAAAGACAACGGCTTCGGGGCTCCTTGTCACCGAGAACGGCCAAAACATATGAAATTTCAACCTGATGGCTTGATGAATGGTCTCGATGGCCACAATGATATGCATAATGACGATAATAGACAATGCCATGATGTTTTGCCGGCAGGATCGCCGGACATCCAATCCCCCCGGTTTCCAGGACTGGTGTGGGCGAAAGGGAAAAGCTGGTGGAACGTTTTATTCTCATGGTAGGGTTAACCGCGATCTCCGTTTTCTCCTTTTTTCCCCCCCACCTTCATTTCTCCTCTGCCTTATTCTTTGGCATTTCTCTCTCTTTTCTGAACAATATCTGTTGATTGCGTTCACAACTCCCGCGATAGAGATTTATATTTGGCTGGCCGTCCCTTTGATGTCGCGCGCACCCCATGTACATACATACATATATGCGTACATATGAATGTCACTAGAAGCGGAAGCAATTTGCTCTAATATCTTCGGATTAACTCGATGATTCCCAATTCCGCAAAGACTGAGAGTTCTCAAAAAGCGAAATGTTGGTTGAAAAAAAAATAAAAAAAAAAAAAGGTATCGAATCATCGCATCTGGATTCTGCTCGAATAAATAATTATTTGCAATCCAAAAAGGGTTGAAACTATATAAAATTCTACTCTGTGGTAGCTACTTGGTGTTTTCCAGGCTCCAGACCTGCTCACCATCGCGTTCTGCAAATCAGCCCGCGTCCGTAGCTGGTGGGCAAACAACCCCATCAGTGCTCTTTTTCTGTGACCAAGCTTCTGATGAAAGGACCTTGTCATTGTTTGCTGTTCCGATAACCTGATAAGGAATAGTTATTGGCCTTGCTTTGAAAAGAAGAACAGACCAACAAACCACACCACCACTGACCTCTTCCTCACGACTGAAGCCTAAAGTTGTCCTAATGGCCTCCAACGCCGAACCCAGCTCCCCCGGAATAGATCGCGAAACCACCACGCCATTTCACCTGAAGCTATTCTATCGCCAAAATTCCTTTCATCACCTCTCCGATTTTCCGATCCCTTCGTCGTCCGGTGGGACCTCCGCTCCTCCGCTCCCCCCACACCTTCAGATCTACACATGGTACTCGTGCTCCCTGCGCGAGCTAACGCATCTCCTCACGTCATGTCTCCCGTCGCTGCTGCCTGACCCTGTTGTCGGGACGCGTCTTAGCTTCAGACTGATATATCCCGACAGCAAGGGCCAATTCGTGGGCTTTGGTGGCTCCGGTGCGCCAGGCGTTCATGACGAAGGGAGAGGGAGGTACCTCAGCAAGGATATTGGGAGTGTGATCATCGGCCCCAAAGCGGATACTGGAGGGAAGGATTCGTCTACGGAAGTTGATAGCAGTAGGCTACAAGGCGAAGATGCCGATCGCACCTTGCAAGATGTGCGGTTCATCATCGGTGACTACGTCGAATGTGCCATCTTACCTCCGCTTTCAGACGGGTCTATCGCCCCACCAATTTCGTCAAGAAGCATAGCGGGAAGCTCAGCCGTCGGTGGCGGGATGCGGGCGTTCCCACCTGTGAGAGAGAACGGGTTTGGGCGTCCGAGGGCTCTAGGAGGTGGGATGGGACGAGGAGGACTAGCAAGCATCCCCAGCGGCGAATGGAGGAGGGGAGAACGCATTCCAGATAGTGGAGGAAGGGCTTACAGTCGTGGACACCCGAGAAATCGAGGGCGACCGTATTGACACGTTGACGGCTTACCTATCTGGGTGATTCTGGGAGATAATGGGCCAGTGGATACCCGAATCTAGCATCTCGTCTGATTCGTCAATGGTTCCTCGATTGTGGAAGAAGGATTGGCCGGTGAAACCAGCAGACTGAATGGGATCATGAACAGATTGATGTCGGAGGGGAAGATCGGTTGATTACAGAAAGGAAATGTGATGCTACGAACGGGCAGAATGGTCGGCTGTAAGCTAATATTGAAAATTGTTTTCATTCCGTACGAAACTCTGTAATGACTATTTTAATGCAAGCCGACTCAAAAGTACAAGCATGTCGTGGAGTCCTGTCCTCCCCTTCGATTGTTCATCCACCGAGTAAGAAAACATTGCGAGCGATTGTCATCGTTTGCGGAAGGATCTATGATTGCTGAATTGCAATGTAATATACAAGGAAGCCCACAGAGCCACATCCCGTCTACCACTCCGCAATGGTGTCACCCCTTCGCTTGCCCCTCAAGTCGTATTTTCCCTATAGTTCAAAGACGACCGCATCAGCACAAGCACACGGGGTTGGATTGACTAGAATTCAGCTCGATTGCTATCTTCAGCCAAAGAACCACGAGACTCACATCTGTCTTGTAACCAATGTATCCAATGATTCCGGGCACGAGGGCCATGTAGCAAAACGAAAGCCAGGCTGTTCTGGGTGTCCACCGGAAGTACTTGTATCTGTTTTTATTCGCATCTAGAAAAGGAGAGTTGTGGTCTATTAGTTGATCAACCGGGCAGAGGCTTTGGCGATCGAGGGCGTACCATAGTATTTCTGGAGGGCGGGGTCCAGATGAAGATCTGCAAGAAAGGTCAGCAGGGCGCAGATAACATGCCACCGGTGGCAATTTAGGGAGCATACTCGAAGGGCCGGCCATTGTTGCTGCTGGATTTCACTTCATCGAACGTCGATCGAGAGCGAGCATTGTCGGCTTTGAGCCCGTCGCCGTTTCGCTTCGAATGCCGCAGAGGGGCTTGGCGCTGAGTCAGCGTGACACCGCCAGGAAGTGGCTGGATGGACTCCGGATTGAGCGCTAAACTGCGCCAGCTGCCATGCTTCACCTATGCAGTGGCACACAGAACTCTTTGACTATAAATGATCATATGCCTTTGGTCTTTACACAGAATCGTCTGTCTAAAGATCCCAGAAACTAATCGTCCAAAAGTTTCCCCATTCCATATTGCTTTTCGCATTCCCCAACACAGCCATGGCCTCTAACCAGGATGTCAAAATAACACTCTACTGGTGCGAACACCTTTTCATTTGATTTGTTTCGCCAATACCCGATTCTCTGAGACGTTTAGGTTCAGGCTTGAAAACTCCCGTGCACAGCGGATTGTCTGGCTGCTGGAGGAGTTGAGGCTCCCCTATGAATTGAAGATGTTCAAGCGGATGAAGGATATGCAGGCCGACGCCCAGCTGAAAGAGATTCATCCTCTAGGAAAATCACCAGTTGTCACAATAGAGACACCGTATACCCCAAAGCCACTGGTCTTGGCGGAATCTGGAGTCATAGTGGGATATCTCATCGACTGCTTTGGGAGCAAAGATACCCTTAGCCAATGCGAGCGATTCCGGCCAGGTTGTGACCATTCTGTCGGGAGGGAGTCGGAGGCCTGGATGAGAGAGCAATACTTCATGCATTATGTGGAAGGGAGCTTGATGCCATTCCTTCAGCTTGAGGCCGTTGTCTCCAGTGAGTGAATGGACCCTGCACGTCCAGGCCCGTTCACCTTCCTTCAGCTAATCACACGTAGACATTCGCAACGCCCCGGTACCCTTTTTCATTAAGCCAGTAACAAGAATGATATCCAACAAAGTCTACGAAGCCTACCTTGGTCCCAATTTGAGGAGACACCTGGGTTTCTTGGAGGAACAAATCGAGTCGTCGCCAGAAGACGGCCGATATCTCTGTGGCAATCAGCTGTCCGGGGCTGATATCCTGATAGTTTATGCACTGGAAGTTGAAGAGGCAAACGGGCTTCTCAATCAGAAAGATTATCCGAGACTGACGGCATACCTGCGTCGTTTGCGAGAGCGTGATGGGTTCAAACGGGCTACTGCCAAGGTTGAATCAGCGGGTGGGAGTACGTCACCCTTACCTAGACAGTGATACTGATGCCATGGTTTCCCTCAAATATTCTTGTATATTCCCGTGCCTAGCTCACCGTTGTATATATCCAAGCCAAGCTCTCACCTCTAGCAGCTGTAACTAGACATGTGTACTTTTACTCTGTAGTCCCCAAGCATGGTGTTGCTGACTAAGCATTGTCATCCCGCCGACCGCCCGCTTGGACCCGGCGATGGCGATGGCGATAGCGATGGCAAAGCGTCCAATTCTGCATGGCGCTCGTGTGTACTCTGTACCCAGTATATGTATGTATACGCTTCCATTCCACGGAGTACATATAGTGTGCATAGGTTACTATATGGATTTGCTGCTGTTTATCGATATCTCCACCTCCTAATCTTTCAAATCCCAGAAACCAAAGAGACCCGCCTTTCCCTTCACTGGATCTCGTTGAACGGGACCTCCCACACTTTGTAGCTGACTCCCAGCCCATATTCCCGAACCAGTACAATCTTCTGGAGAAGTCTGACCATCAGCCTCCCGGAGGAGGACCTCCGTTATCGTGGGCGGTCAGTAGGACTCGCCATCTCTTAAAATCCCATGTCCTCGTCTGAATCTCCAGGATATCCCGCCCCAGCCCAGGGCCTAACCGCAGTCCTTCCCCTAGAGAAGGTGTTTCCAATTCAAATTGGGTCTGAACTGTTCAGGTTATCTGGTGCATCTATCTCCTCGGATGGTTAGTCATGCGCACTGCACGATATATCAACTCTCAACCCCGGCTCCGTCCTTGCTGACAATCTTAGAGCACCCTCATACTTCTCCCAGTTTTTTGAGGAGCAGCTTCGACAGAATGAAGACAGTTCCGCCGTGAGAACGCTTTACATAGACCGGGATCCAGATACGTTTCGTGACATCTTAAAGCACCTTCAAGGTATGGAGTGCGAGCCGCAAGACGGCGAACCCCACCCCTCTTTGGAATGGCTGTGGAAGTGGAACGCTCTTTGATGCCTTTTTTTTCTTTTTTTTGGGCAATTGACTGTAGATCCAGCGCTCAACTAACATAAAGTTCGGTAGGGTATTACATACGGCCGCGGGATAATTCGCATTTCGTTAAACTGTTTGCGGATGCCCAATTTTATAGCTGTCAGTGCATCTAATCCCCCTCTAGTTTTATAGGTACCCCGAGGCTGACCGACACACTAGTACCGCGGTTGATATCCCAGCTGTTTGAATGCGAGATCTTCATCCAGATCGGGGACCGCCACTTTGAAATTCCACGCGATATATTCTCGAGTCCCGGCGACTCCCCTAATTTCTTCTCTCTGGGCTTTGCGGTTTTCTTTGCAACACCGGGAGAGGTGTTTCCCGGCCTGGAACGCCGAGGACTGCTTCGACCCCCCGCGATAACGCCTCCAATTGTGAGCAGTCGTTCTGGTGAAGTGTTCGCAGAACTATTGCATATGCTGCGAGGATATCCTATCCACATTCGAAGTGAGGAGCATCGAGCAGAGCTTTTGCGTGACTGTCGATATTTTCATCTGCGGGGGCTGGAGCAAAAGCTCATCCCTCACCACATCAGCTACAATATTGAGCGCCAGCGGTCAGAAATTGTGATCCGCCTTGAGGATATCCGTCCGTCTGGGGTGCAGGTTACTCCTGATCATCAGGATCATTACTCTCCACAGAACCCACATGCAAGGTTTGGTGGATGGGTGCAGTATGCTCGTCCATTTGTCGACGATAAGCATTATGAGCTGATTATTGAGATTGGCGGAGAGGACACGCGGGTCGACTTGGCGACACAACGTGTTGAATTCTACGGCTCTACCGAAGCGAGGATGTCGAGTCTTTTACAGGTCATCGCGAACAAAACGAATCTCCAAGGCACACTGAAAAAGGGAGCGGAAAGCAGGAGCAGGTCTAGCACACCCGGAAGCAGTTTACCCAGTCCGTGCGTCTTCATAATGCAACTAGACTCAGAAACAGATATTGTCCTAGACGGTGAACGCTATGAGCCACCGTGCAGCGGTGCAGCTTGGAATTATTCCCACGAAGAACCTGCATATACGTCAAATTCTACTAGAGACGGCAGTGAGGGCCTTCGCAACCTGGGTGTCATCCAGACGGGACTCGTGGATATCAAACCGCCCAATCTCCAGCAGAGCGATGGGGGCGAGAGTCGCCAGTTAGGAAGCAGGGAAACGCGGTTTCACGCAGCGCTGGAGGCGACCATGCCGGATATGTATGCCCCTCCCGGCACGCAGATTCTGGCTGGAGAGCCTCCGCTTAAGCGGAAGCGAGGTGATAGTGAATGCAGCGGCGGCGAGTGGACGGTTCACAAGGCGCATTGGAGATTGAGAGTACAGGCACGTAACGATGCGGGAGGTGTGGAGCTGATTCTCATTGCTCTCAAGTTGGATGGGTCTACACGGCAGCGGTCAAGGAACGTGCGCAGGCGATTTCTGGGCTCCGATTAGAGCAGGTTCTCCAAATGCCCGCGGCCAGCCAGCCAGCCCGCGATGCTGTTCCCGCTGCCTCTCCCCAGCGAGCGCTGACCGCCGTGGCGACGGGGCCCTTACGAAACGGTATTGCTGTAATCATACCTGTAGTACAGTACATGATGACGCCATCCGGCCAATCAGCTACACCCGATTAGGAGATAAGGTGTTGTATTATATAAGCATAGTGTTACTTTCCTGATTATCTAGCCAATCGCCGTTTGAGAATTGAGAGTTCGCAGCTCCACCGCCAGCAAGCTGTCAAATCAGGCTGTGTATTTTATTACCGTTACGATCGCCCGGCACTGTTACATCGATACCCCATTTGCCAAGGCCGCGTTCTTTTTGCTTCAATCCGCCATCCCATCGACTTTCACTCTCCTCGCAACCTCTCTCTTCGCTCACATCTCACATCTCTCACATCGCTTTCTCCTCCTCTCCTCCTCTTCCTCTTCGCTTTTGCGTCGACTCACTCAGCATCAAGGGCCTTTGTGCATCGCATCCACCGCCAGAATTGCCTTACATCTGAACTGGTCTCCGTAATAGTCCTGTCGTTCTTCCCCCTTCTCGCTGGACTGGTGATCTGATCACCCTGCCGGCTGTCCGCAGTCTCACTCTCCATCCGTATCGTCTTCCCGCCAACGATGCAAACCTCGAGCACCAACACTTTTGCTCCAGGTCAGATCTCTCCACATGGCAACCCTTCGCCCATAAACTCTGCCTCCGTCACGCCCGCAAACAATTCTCCGACATCTCCTCGGCTACAGCATCCGCATCTTCACCATGTTCATCCACAATCCAAGCAGCTCCGTCCCCTGAAATCCCCTCTGTACGTGCCCGCCGTGCTGAGACCAACCGAACGCCCCTCGCGATCCTCTCCCTTGACGCCGCCACGGAGCGTCCACGACCTCTCTGAAGATAGCAACACTCGCCGACCACCTTCACTCTCGCGGCAGTCAACGGTGGAGAGCATGCGGAGCGAGGTCAGCAAGCTGGCTGAAGACGAATGGTTGAAGGATCAGAACCTTGGCCCCGTAACAGGTTCGCCAACCAGGGAGCATTGGAAGGTTAGTCACTGTTTGCCGTGCATCTTAATTGTCCGGGCCCCCTTGAAACCTCGGAAATTATGAGGCTCAAAAAATCGGAGAGCTCACCTGTTCACTCGATTCCTAGGCTGATTCCGCTTCTCCGTCTTGCGACTCCCCTGTCTGCAGATCTTTCTTTGGCCTTTTCAATCGCCGACACCACTGCCGTCATTGTGGACACGTCTTCTGTTCATCCCACACTCCCTACCTTGTCCCTCTTGACCAGAATGCCAGCTTCCATCCCGACGGGGTTCCATCCCGAGCCTGCGATCTCTGCTGGAGTGCTTACTGCCGTTGGGACCAAAGTCGAATCGATCAGCTAAATCAAATTCAGAGGGACTTGGCGGCTCAGCTTGAGCGATCGAAGAACGATGGCGCTACGTCCAGTCTGCCCAAGGAAACCGACTCCGATCATGCTAGTGTCAGCGATGCGGGTTTCCTCTCACCATCTATGGATCATCAAGACAGCGCAGTTGCTACCAGTGTCCCAAGGGATTGGAGCTGGAGCACGTTCTAATATTCCGTGTTCCTGGCGCGTATTCCGCTTCCTTTTCAATATGATACCCGTTTTTTTCTGTATTCTTTTCCTCTTCTTCTTCTTTCTTCTTTCTTCTTCCTCTTCCTTTTTTATTTTCTCTTCTCCTTTCCTATTTCTTTTCCTTTTCTTTTGGTCTCGCGCTTGAAGAGCATAATTCGAAACTCCAGGGTCCTCCGGTAGCCCCTGACGTTTCCATTGCTTATCCGATAGATTGTGTTGCCTTATGTACTTTTTTATCGTCGCCGTTTTATATCCCAGCCCACTGCTTCATCTTGTTGCCTTGATACCCGCTTTGACTTCTACGGATACATAGACCTGATCCCACGGTTTTATTTTATTCCAATCGACACTAGGCGGTCATTCGCCGCCTGCTCCTTTCTGCGTTGCGATCGAATATTATTTTCCCATTCTTTGCTTAGGGACGGCTACCCAGGATGCTCCGCATATGAACTTGGTTGATGATCGCCGTTATGAATAGAGTATCGATTCCAGATCTACTGGCCTGTTACAGGGTATGCACAGCCATTTGAGAGCAATGATTCTGTTAATATGTTTGTGTGAATTATATTCCCAATACACAATTTACATGAACATGAAGACATATTTCATGGACCACCTTTCTCCTGGGGCATTGCTTAGATATCCCACTAGCATACAGAGTATGATGTGAAATAATATTTCCATTAGTGCTGGCTCTTGGGCAACAAACACATACTCTATTTGGAGTAATATCATTCTTCTTTTCATAGGCACTGAACTTATTCAATATTTCCTCACGTCTTTTCTTTTCTACCCCCAATCAACTCCCGCCCTTCTCCTCCCCCCTTTTCTCTCGCCAATCAAGAATGGCTCCCTTGCGCTCATCGGCGCAAGTGCTTCTGTAGCCGGATTCTCTCGGTCCCAGCATAGTTCTGAATAACAAGCGCAACATTGTAGATGGTTTACGTACAGAGTTCAACACTAGTAACTAACATTACAAAATTATGTGATAACACTACTTTTGTAACTCCTCCCTTACAGAGTGCATCCGTACTCTATATAAATATGGGGGATTAGGGGATGGTTAAGGTGAGAAATAAATTTCAAATGTAATTCTGGAATTTTATATTTCACTACTCTGTACTCCGTACTGACATCTGTATTTACTTTGCTTAGTCACACGGCGTGATTGAGCTCAGGACACCGAGAGTTGATCCGTGCGCACAACACAGTGGGCAGAGGACCCTCTTCGGGAGATAACTCCGAAATCGCCGCACTTGACAAAAGGCGGGTTTAACCTCGGCGTTCGACATCTGTTCCCTCAAGCTTCTAGCCTCGTAGATGCCAAATTAGCAGCTCTCCCCGGCAATACGCACCTATCGCGTTGCCTGAACGGGCCGGCTGGTCAACTACGGTTTGCGACGAGTCATTTGCTCATGAGAGAGTGGGGAAGACGATCTGCTCCGATCCGTCTTTGAAAACTGATGCGGAACTTGTGGCTACTTGTCATACATTAATATATAGCCGTGTGGGAGGAAGGACACCCCAGCCATTCCCGTTGTTCAACCCCCGTCGTACTTCAATCCGTTCCACTGTGAAGATGGGTACTGCAACAGCGCAATCCGGACTTAGCAGCTCGGTCATGCACCGCGACCTGCACGCGGCCCCGAAACGCGCCGTGGGTGCTGAAGGCAACTATGTCATTCTCGAAGATGGACAGAGACTCCTGGACTCGACTGGTGGTGCCGCTGTCAGCTGCCTCGGCCACGCGAACGAGCAGGTAAAAGAGGCCATCAAGAAGCAAATGGACCAGCTTTCGTACTGCCATACAATGTTTTTTGCCACGGACGTCTTTGAGGAGCTTGCAGCGTTCTTGAAGGAGTCTACTGGCGGAAAAATGTCCAGATTATTTGTTGTCAGCTCTGGTATTACTCTATACCTACTACCCCTTCCAATGTCAATATGGATATTATACACATGAATGCAAGGAGCGAGACGTTACTTGAAAGACGGTGACTAAGAGCGAAACACAGGCTCCGAAGCCATGGAAGCTGCCATGAAATTGTCTCGTCAATACTTCCTCGAACTTCCCACTCCAGAGCCGAAGCGCACAAGATTCATTGCCCGGCAGCACTCTTTTCACGGCGTCACACTGGGTTCTTTGTCTATGGGTGGTCATGTTTTCCGCCGCGAGCTGTTCGAACCGCTTCTACTCCCAAACATTTCCCACGTTTCACCCTGCAATGCATATAGGGGCAAGAGAGATGGCGAATCAGATGCAGATTATGTAGGAAGACTTGCTGCCGAGTTGGACGCCGAGTTCCAGCGAGTTGGCCCCGAAACTGTGTGTGCGTTTGTTGCGGAGCCTGTCGTCGGTGCTGTAAGTAGTATTTGACATTTCCGTCATGGATGACTTCCACCTGATTGCCGTACTTTAGGCACTCGGCTGCGTGCCTTCTGTGCCAGGCTATTTCGCAGCGATGAAAGCGGTATGCGACAGGTATGGTGCCCTCCTGATCATGGACGAAGTGATGTCAGGAATGGGTCGCTCTGGAACGCTGCATGCCTGGGAACAAGAAGGCGTTGCGCCTGACATTCAGACCATAGGAAAAGGCCTTGGGGGAGGTTATGCTCCCGTCTCAGGTGTGCTGATTGGCAATAAAGTAGTTGAAGTTATGGATAAGGGAACCGGAGCATTCCGCCATGGTCAGACATATCAGGGCCACCCCATTGGTTGTGCAGCAGCATTGGCCGTCCAGAAGGTCATCAAAGAGCAGAATCTACTTCAAAACGTGAGAGAAATGGGTGCGCTGCTCGAGTCGAAGTTAAGAGAGTATATCGGCGATCATCCAAATGTGGGCAATATCAGAGGCAAGGGTCTATTCTGGGGTGTACGTCTGTTCAAACACTGGATCACTCTGGAGACTAACTTCTTTGTAGATCGAATTCGTGAAGGACAAGGCAACAAAAGAGCCTTTTGACCCTAAGCTTGCTGTCGGTGCGCGGGTTCAGAATACGGCTCTAACACCTAAGTATAGTTTCTCCATCTACGCTGGTGGCGGGACCATGGATGGAAAACGCGGCGATCACGTCCTTCTTGCCCCCGCTTATAATATTACAGCAAATGAGGTGGACATGATTGCACGCTTAACCGCCGCCGTCATCGTTGAGGTGTTCAATGAGGTCAGCGCCTCTACGTAATGAAACTCTCCCTCAAGATGTTCATTTGAAGCTTCTGTCTGGATACACACACAAGACTTGGCCGTGAATATCCTGAAGGAATACAAAACGATGAGCAGCATTACTGGCTCAAATAATCATCAAGCAGTGCTCTTTAAGATCAGTGAGATCAATGTGTAGCAGAGGTCAACTCAAGCCTAACCCTCAGACTCGACTTTTATGATTCCACCAAACACATCCACACCAAGCCGCCCCTTTCGCATGGAAGCCTTCACCGGGTTTGATGAGTTGAATATTAGATCAAGCTCTTCGAGCTATAATCGTAAAATCCACCATTAGTTCCTAGGACAAATGGCAAAGAACAAAGTGAAATATATAGAGACTTACCGTGCAATTCTTTGTTTCTGGAATGAAGTAGTATATAACGACGGCTTGAACAGCACACCATACACAGAAAATTATGTATGTATGCCAGCCAATTTTGTCCATAGCGACGGGCCAGGCAAATTGGTTGAGTAGCAAGGCTGGAGAGATCGGAAATCAGTCCAAAGGGCCTAGAAAGAGAGGGGATAAGACCAGATACCTACCAGCATTCAACGCCAGATTCTGAAACGCCAGGCCCTTTGCACGCATTTCGAATGAAAGCACTTCGACTGGATATAAGGCTTGCAACGGTGTGAAGCCAATCGAAAACACTGCGCCAAAAACGAAGATAAAAGCCAACGTTGCCGTTCCTGCCGCAGGAGATGTCCCTGGAAAATCTTTTGTGCCACCGTGGTTTGCGAATTCAGAACTAGTTATGCAGATGCATAGCCAAACCACGGAGCATCCGATATTGGCGAAAAGCAAGAGAGGGCGGCGGCCGGCGCGGTCAACAAGAGAGGCTCCGATAATCGACCAAATGAATTGCTGGCAGGAGTTGATGAGTATGATGTTGAGCTGAGGAACGGTCCCGGAGACGCCAGCGGAGTCCAAAACGGCAGACATAAAGTAAGAAAGAACGGCTAAAACAATGAAAACTGTTAGGTAGATACCGTGATGAAGGGAGACCGGGAGGAGCATACAGTTTCCCGCCCACTGGCTGAAGATTGTTACGCAACAGCTGCAGAATATGCGGTATCGAGAAACAGGAGTGTTGAATAACGACCTATAATCCCACCAGCGCTTATCCGCGCCGTTTATGTCGAGGTATTCATCGTATTCGGCGAGCTGGAGCTTAACCCATTCGCTCTCTGGATTGCCTTGGCCATGATATTTGACAAGCATGGCTTTGGCGTGGTCCCGCTTATTGTGGACGTATAGCCACCGTGGAGACTCAGGAACGAACAAAACACAACCAGAGATAATTCCAGAGAACAGCAATTGAAACCAGAGAGGAATCCGCCAAGTAGCATGACCACCCAGATGGTTAGTTCCGCGGGCCACGCCGCTAGAAAGGATGGAACCGATGAACCTGGAGAGGGTGTCAAAATCCAGTGCTCCAATTCAGGGGCGTGCATGCAAAGCCTTGTGGACGTACCAGAAGGTATTTGAGAACCCAGTCATTACGCCGCGGTATGCCGGATGCGAAACCTCTGTGACATACATTGGACCGGCTGAAGAAGTAATGGCAACACCGAATCCGAGAACAAATCGGCCGCCCATGAACTGTCCTACATTCCCTCCTGTCACGGTTGCGGAGACAATTGTCCCGACGATGACAATCAGCGCACCAGTAAACATGCCTATTCGGCGCCCAAAGCCGTCGTTGATAGGTCCTACGAACGGCAAGGCCGCAACGCTACCAATCTGATACATAGAGGAGACGATGCCGGCCCAGATGCCCTTATTCGAGCCATTGAAGTACCGCAGGAACACCTCGTTCGCGGCAATGGAGTTATAGAGAGAGCCGTCGTAGCCGTTCATACTCGAGCAGAGGAAGCCAACGAGAGAAGCGGCGAAGAGGGCAATAGAATTCCATGAGCGAGGGTTCGGGGGTTCTTTCAGCATGGCGGTGTGGTAGGCGGTGTTCCCTCCGACCACTGTGGTGTGAACGGGGCGGACATCCTGCATACATGCCGTTAGAAGTTATCTCCGACGAAAAGAAAGGCGAGATGCGGACACAGGAGCGACCTGCCTTCTCATCACCCACATCCTCCGTGCTCCTCTGACTATCCGCCATTCTCAGGGCTTCAGAGGAGGAGACTGATGGATGACCAGGCAGAGCTGCTGCAATGGTCGATAGCGTGCGTGGTGACGCCGCCTTGGGGACGAAAACGACATCCTTGGTCGTTATTTATATAGTTATAGGAATTGCCCGAGACACAGCGCCTCCTCTGCCCCGGCACCACTGAATGTCGTGGAGACTAGTTGACTCTGCGCGGTGACATGGTCGTTCCCTGTGGCGATGCCAACTATGTCATTAGACTTTCAGCTTCTCCTCTCTGGATGACAAACGGTCTTACGGGAACTTGGATCGAAGGCCCAAGATCCCACGAGGCGTCCAAACTTCCAACGAGAGATCCTGAAGGACCATTGCTGGCCGGGTGTGTATGAACCCCCTTCCACTGCTCCGCTCAAAAGCAGAAGAACTTTCGCCTTTTTTCCCCCCGTCTTGCACATGGTTCCCTTTCATTTCGGCCTCCGCGCCTGTGGATGGCGTTTGTGATAGGCGTCTGAGAGACGGCTCATCTCCACAACGTTCTTTAGCGTCGAGCGTGACGAGCTTGGAGAAACCCTGCTCTCCACGAGGCCACCAAGCGTGAAACGAAAAAGCAAAGAAGCTTCGCGAATTCTTGCTCTGTGGACGCCGGACCGAAACCTCTCCACATGACATTGCGTGGATGGTTGGCTATCCCACCATATTAATACAAATCTTCACAATTCAACGGCGACCAGCGCAGCCGCATGTCGGATCACAGCCGGTTCCCACTTTACGCGGGCCGTCTGTCCGGATAGCCTCAGCCTATTTGGCCGGCCCTGAGTTGGCCACCCCAGAGGGTGTTATCAGCTGTGAGCAAACAAGGGGCCGAGATGGGGTTTTGGCCTCTAGAACCCCATCCTCAGGAGGCTGAAGAAAGGGGCCTGAGCATCACTGGCCGCGTTTCGATGCTTAGAAATGGCTCTCATTCGATCATAGGTTTGCCGCGCAATGCGCTCGAGGTCTGCGATCCCGTGTCTGCATAAACACAATGGGGGTCATATTGACTGAAGCCGACAGGCATGCCGGCGAATATAACAAGCCCCGCAAGTTCTGCGCAAATATGGAGTCTCGCGCTGTGAGAAATTCTCCTTTGGTGAGACCGAGGAGCCCCCTGATGCAGCCCGTTCATCCAACGCTGGGAACGCCAAGTTACTAACTTGCCCGCTAGCGGACGAGTTAACGAACTAAAGCATCGGTCGGTGCATCGAGACAGGGGTCCGCACCATTGCTTTTGCTGGCAGTGGACGTCATGGGAACGTTCCAGGAAGACTCTTGAAAGAAATGCGTCTTTTGGTCCCGTTATCCGATATACTCGACCGTCCTGTGTGAACTAGCTTGTCTGCAAGTAAGGCTATACCACTTATGGAGTAGGGAGTAGGGAGTACACTACATTAATACCCATCACAGCAAAGCAGTTAATACGGAGGGAGTGAGGTGGTCAGGGATCAGCGCCACGAAGCCGTGGTTTTGACCTGAAGATAGCTGATCCAGCAACCTGGCGCAGGCTACGGAGCACTACAAACTCGGCCTTTTCAAAAAAAAAAAAAGGAAAATGTCAACTTTAAATCAAGGATAGCCAATTCTCGCAGGGGAGTGCGAAGGCAGTGTTCGACCCAATGGACAATTCTACCGAAGATGATATATGTATAAAAAAGTATGTATGGTACAGATCTTTTTTCTCCATCCCCGGCACGATGCTCTAAAGGGACATAAAGGTAAAGTGAGTAAAACACGCCACCAGCAACCCATTTCTCCAGCCAGCCAACATCCCAACAGTGCGTAGTATGCTTAAGACGTATTCGAAGCAGGTATTCCCCAATAGAAAAGCGCTACCAGAACCAAACTCTGTCCCGTAAATGTAACCGAACGCATCAAGAAATGGTGTAGAAGTATCAGCTGGAAAAAAAAAAAAAAGGGTAAAAAATAGACAAGAAATTCACATGTTTTCCCCTTTAATTAGTTCCGTTTCCTGTTTAACTGCTGCTTTATCAACCTTTTCATCATGCAGCTTGTCATTTAACACACCTGTTCGCGGAGATGCCGCCTTGGAACTCCACAGATCCGCCACGGTCTCCACAGCCCGCTCGACCACCACTCTCACCCGGTCTCTCAACACGGGGTACGAGCATTCAACCTCCAATGTCTCAAGCCACACGCGGGCAACGTGCTTATCGACTTTAATTTCAATGCCGGGGACAGGGATACCCAACGCTTGAAGGCGAACTAATTCCACTTCTTCAAGGTCGTCGAGGTCCTCCTCGTCTAGCTCAGGTTCATCTTGTTTGACCTCACTATCCGGCGTGGGGGCACTTGACTCGGCTTTAATGCCTGCAGTCCCGTTAGCTTTAGCATTGGCGGCCGGGCGAGTTATCTTCGGTCGCTCAATTGGTGCAATGTTGGAACCAAATTGGGCTTCGAGCACCATCAGCAGACGGGAGAATCGTTCTTCTGGTGTGAGATAAGAATGGGGATTAGGGAATTCGCATGTGCTATGGGAGTGGCAGTGCTTGTTCTTGCTCGAACCTGTGACTAAGCAGTCAGTCTCACGACGCGGGGATACGAGTTTCGAGGATAATCCTACGTTTAACAGCCGCGGGACTGCTCTCTACGGTCAGGAGGACAGCCATAACAGCATCAGCAACTCCATCATTCATCAAATTGCCTTCCCACTCAAGCTCAACTGCCCTGGTTCGTGGACTATATCTCAGGATAACGCAGCCCATTACCAGGAAGGCAATTGTATCATCGAGAGGAATTTCCTCGTCTGCTTCGTCCTCTTTAACAGTGGCAGCATTTTCATCCTCGTGTTCCTTAACACGTCCGTTTGTAGCAGCCTCTTGGCGCTGTGTGCCAATTTCTTCTATTGACCCAAAAGTGCCCTCCAATGCCCATCTGATGAGGTCAATGCTCGCCGTGCCCAGAGTTATGTGCTGTTTACAGGTAATGGTGGTGGTCGTCAATCCAGCATATTCTCGCAAGTCCTCTGGGGCCATCATGGAAAGTTGAAACCCGTTCTGAACAAGGACGCCATTCATGAGCCGCGATTCTTGGTCTGCGGCTGGTGGTGAAGTTTCTGCAAGTCGTCCCACTACTTTTGCAACTTTGTCGACGGTGAATGGAATTCGAATTTCCTCGCAATTGGTAGGCGAATATATTTTCACTTTCACGGTCTTTTCTGCGTTCAAGCTGAGAAGTTTAGATTTGAGCCTCATCATCTGGTGTTTTTCACCATGGACCAAAATCTGCGCCAGTATAAAAATGGTCAGAAGGAAGGGGAAAAAAAAAAAATTGAAACAGTCAGTGAAGTGAAGGGCACGGGAACTTACCACCACAGGCGCGGCGACTGCCTCTATGAATTCACGGTTCTCCACGCCATCAACGTGGGCAGCAAAGCTGATTTCTTCAACAGTACATCTGCGTGGGATCATGACCTTCTGCTCCTCATCGCCATCCGGTATTCTGCCGCGACCGGGCCCAGCGGCGGTTCTAGCGCTCATCACAGCGGGAATCTGTTCGGGTTCATTGAGGATCTGTTTCCCCATTGTGCCCTCAACACTGTAGCCGGTCATGATAACACCATTACGTTCACTTGGTGCCCATCGCTCCAAGAGCTCTCGACTAGTTCCCGTTTGCAACATACCAGGAGATGCAAGCATGACACAGCCACCCACATCGTCAAAGCGCTCCAAGTTCCTTACGCTCCTCACGAATTTGAAGTCCCACGGACCCGCGGTTGTACTCTTGTCTCCTCTGGCTTCAGCCTCAGCCATGCGCTGCCGGAATAGCCGCTTGATGTTGTCGTTCATGGCTCCTATGTAAGTTTGATACACGACCATACACCGCCTGGCCATGTTCCCAATATAGTAAATTGGGATCTTCTGCAGTTCAGGATGGCGACCCCAGTATTCATCCAGGATCAGCAACAGTTCTTGGGCTCGCCCCAGTGCAAAAACAGGCATTAGCACTCGTCCACCTCTGTTTAGGACGCTTGTGACAGATTTCATCAGCGCGGTTTCACGTTCCAGCCGGGGTGGATTGGAAGAGATGCCGAAAGTGGATTCAGCGATGAGGACATCTATCTTGATGCCCTTTGGAACTTCTGCTGATACAAGGTGACGGTCTTCTTCACGAGAGTAGTCGCCAGTAAATAGGATATTCAGGCCGGCGATGGAGATGAGAAACATGGCTGCACCAAGCACATGGCCGGCAGGGAAAGGGGTGATCCGGATGCTGTTGATGGTATGGGTCGTGTTGAAATCTATTGCTTCAATGAGAGGTAGAGTAGAGAGATGGTCTTGTTCGGTATAGAGGGTAGTTCTCTGGTCAGACGAGGAGGAGGTGTTGCTCACTCGGACATTGTCTTGGATGAGCCATTTGTAGATAGCCTTGGTGGCATGGGTCATGAAGACTCTGCCTTTGAAATTGGTCTTGCTGAGGACGTAGGGGAGGGCAGCGGAGTGATCCAAGTGGAAACTAACAGCAACCGGGGAGGCACGGATTAGCCAACTGACCAAAAAACACACACACGCGCGCACACACACACACACACACACACACACACACACAAAAAGTAATACACGGATACGGCGGACACTGCGAGGATGCAGGAAAAAGCAGGGAGCGACGGGGACTGGCAAGAGTCCCGAGGAATAGATATACGGGCACAAGAGGCCAAGATTGATGGAGAATAAAATATATGATTCATTGCTTTTCTGACATACATGCTCAGGCGAATGGAAGGGAAAGGGAGTGAGATGTTCCAGGAAAGGTGTACGGGAGCGGCAAGACCACAGGCGGCTTTGCTCTCCCCTCGAGGACGACGAAACGGTCTCAGCATTTCCAATGCACTGCACCCATGCCCACAAGCATCTCAAGACAGACAAGGAAAGACAGCTTGCAACGTACTGGCTCACGAGAAGTACGTCTACCGTACTGAGATCGAACTCGTCGAAGAACGGAAGGGCTGCAAAGCCATCCTTTGCGGGGTGCATTCCGGCATCGAGCTAGATGGGATCAATCGCAACGGATTAGAGGGCGAAGGCAACGGGGGCAGCAGCACAACGGGGCGTAGCAATGGCATACCATGACCGTTTTCCCCTTGTATTGAATTATATGGCATGATCTCCCGACCTCGTTTCCGCCACCCAGGCAGTTGAAGAGGAGCTCATCGGAAGGGTCGATGGGCTCCTCGTCTAGCCCGGCTGAGATGGCCGAGGCCTTGCGCTTTGCTGCCATGTTCTGAGGGACGGGGTGCGGGTAGCTGAAGCTGTCAAGCGCATCCAATGACGCTCAAGCGAGGCGGGCAGTTGACTATGGCATGAAGGCTGCAGATAGCGAACCAGCCGAGAGTAGATACGGATAGACAGGCAGGCACACACACACACACAGAGAGAGAGAGAGAGAGAGAGAGAGAGACAGAGAGCAGAAGATGCAGCAGAGAGAGAGAGAGAGAGACAAGCAAAAAAGAGAAGTGAAAGTGAAAAGCAAAGCAGCAGCATCCTTACGTCAGCATTCTCACGTGACCACTCTTCAAGGGCGAAAGTCGAAAAGCAAAGCGAAAAGAGAAGAAAAAAGCGAGGTGAACGAGAACGAGGACAAGAAAAAGACAGCACGCTCAGAGCAACAACACAAAAGCGCGAGCAGCCCATCCTCAGCAGTTCGACGCCCACTCTTGCTGCCCGCCCCATAGATCGATCGATCGATCCCACGCCATCCCTGCCTACAGCCTCCTCTTCTTTGCCAGACTCGCGTTCCTCGATGCGTGACGCCACCACCTGAGATGCTCGCGGTCGCGAGGGAGCCTGATGAATCGAGAGCACAGCGCTCCCACTCCCGTCCCCGGAGCTCGCTTCATTGTTGACTCTTCGCCGCTACAGCAGTAGCTCCTCGCACATCAGCTTTGTTTGCTTTGTTTCTCCGGCCCAACATGGCGCAGACCCAGTCTCACCAGTTCCCTTCGCAGTCCTCCTTCTCCCCTCCCGCCTCCACGCCCTCTCCCTCTCCCTCTTCCACCGGAACCCCTTCCGGCAACCTTGGCCCACCGCCAAAACGACAGCGTCTCTCGCCTCTCCCTCAGACCCAGGCGCCATTCTCGTCTTCTCCTGGCTTTGGAACCCTGCAGTTGCCCCAGACCACGAGCCCCGTGAACGGTGTGCCCGTCGCCAACATGACAAACCCACCTGGAAACGCCGTCCATCCTCCCCCACAACCACAACCACAACCACAACCACAAACACATACACCCCAACCACCACCGCCACCCGGCTCGATGGGTCCTCCATCGCGGCCCGCCGAGACGAAGCCAACCGATGCTGCAGAGCTGACAGACGTCTTGGCCTCCTCCGGCATTGATGTCCGGGAAGAAGAAGCGTTTCTTACCAGTGGATATGGCGCTGCACCCGCAACTACTCCGCAACCGCCGCCGCGCATCCAGACCAATATTACCACTTCATTCACCTCACTGCCGTCCGCTGGGTCGACCCCATCTGCAGGAAATAGCTTTACTGAACCCGCTTTCAAGCAAGCCCACTATCAGCCTCCACCCACGGCTGCCGGAGCACAACCGGTTCCCCGGAAATCCCCAGAGGAGCTGGCTGCAGATGCAAAATTGCGTGACGATACCGTGGCCAGCCGACGCGACCAGTACCCTCTCCACGCCCCTTTCCTTCAAACTGCTCCGCTCGGTGAAAGACTACAGAAAAGAGGAAACGAGCTTGGAATTCGCATGCCATCCGGTGGATTCTTTCGCCCATTTCCAAATCGTCCCGCGACCCCCATCGAGATCGTAGGACCTGACGGCCAGTCGGTGATTCGAACTGGAAAACCGGTTCTGACCACGGATGCTCCTCTGGGTGACATTATATCCCTGATGTCTCTAGCCTGCGAGGAACGTTTGCGTTCCGTGGTTGAACATTCCGCGGTTCTCGCCCAAAACCGCCGCGCCTATTCCCACGGAGTTGTCCCGCAAGAATGGAACGATTTGGCTGAAGGAAATAATCAAAAGAAAGGAAAGGAAGACCAAAATGGAATTGCTGCAGCCTCCCCAAATGGTACCTCCCAAAAGCGTATGTATCACATTTCCCCATATGTGCAGGATTCGGCCGATTCCCCGATGCTCACATGATCTACAGGAACTATCTCTACGAACAGAGACGACTCAAATGAAGCTCGAAGGATCACATTTCCGAATACTCTCGCGATGAAAAGTCGCAGATTGATAGAGAAGGATGGGTCGTACGAAGAGGGCCGTGCAAACAAGCGAATGAAGCGCAATACCGATGCAATTCTCAGCGGAGACACTGGAAGATCAGCCTCTGTTGGGCCGGGTGCTGAGCCTTCCGGTGAGAGGGCGCCCGACGTCGAAAAGAAAACAAAGAAAGAGTTGAAGAAGGCTGAGGCCAAGGTAAACGATGCGGTTCAGCATCAGCATGCAGTTGAAACCGCTCGCATGGCAACAGGCGGTCTCAGTACATCGCGATTCGGAGGCAAGAAAACATATTCGTGGCTTAGCAATCCCAGTGCGACCTCTGCCTCAAGAACCAGCTTCTCTAACCCCTCACGAGCGAGACCTGGCGGTGGATCAGCCCCGTCTGGCACTGGAAAACCTGGTGGGTTGTCTAATGGAATCAGAGTGCCACCAGGAAAACGACTGGGTGAATGGCGCGAAGACAAGGATCGTGGTGCCGGAGTCCAGATCCGGGACATTCTTTTCATGCTCGAGTTAGACGGTAAGGCTGCCAAACACCTACAAAAGGCATATTCAAAGGAATCCAAAGAAGAGGTTGATAGACCCGGCAAATAAGCCGGGGCGGAACTAATGGTCACACCGGGGATCGTCAACCTCACCGCAGTACCCCTGACCCAACTATAAATCGACCAATCCTTGATACTAATTCGCACTTCCCGGGCCAACGGCCGTGCAAGGACCAACCTCCTCGCGCCGCGGAGATTACCTTAGGTCTACCCTCCCTCACTTTTATTCTGTCTTCCTCTCCATTACCCTTCAAGAACCGTGCTTCGGCGTTCAGATTGTCGTGTATTCTACTTATGTTCTTGCGGTTCCAGTCGAATTCATAGGCGGCGGAGTTTACGGGATCGGAGTTCACTTTCTAACATACTGCTTGGCTGATTTTTAATTTTGCGGGTCGTTTCTTTTCTTCCCCCCCCTTTTTTTTTTTTGCTACTCCTTATCCCTGTGATGCGGCATATTTTACGTTCCCAGATTTCATTGTTAATCCTCGGAAAAAAAAAAAAAGTCAAAGCTATGCATCCTTCTTTGTCAACGCAGCACATGGGGAGGAGACAGGCTTCTATCGCGTGGACTAACTGCCAGGCATGTATGTACGAACAATGCAGGCCCGCCACTGCTAGCCATGAAAAGAAATTGGAGAAAAACAGCATCCTTCAGTCCTTATCCTCCCTATACTATGTATGTGTGAGGCCCACTACCTCCGGACGGGACAATTCCTTATTCCACAGAACAGCCTGTGGGTATATGTAGGTCAACTACCATGTTGTACCGGTGATCCGCAAGCGAACGTTGAGTGCCTCTAACCGACCAATCTTCACACAAACACCCATGGCAATGCAAGCACCGCCAAATTCGCGTTGATTCTCTGCCACTTCAGTGCTGACAGTCATCTCCTGTGTATCTAAATCTGGATATGCATTCCTCTCTGACAGATGGATGTTTTCATCAGTGGATACATATGGAATAACATACCTGTACTCTATTAAGTTTCTGAAAGCACTGTCCTACTACTTTGATTGACGTTCTCTCTCTCTCAGTGAGAGGGAGAGAGTGAGTGAGTGTTTGTGTGTGTGGAGTTCTTCAATTTCCCTTTACTTGTTGCAACAAAGAGGACAATCTTCCCCCAGATCCTGTATCACACACCTTACTGCATTGCGGTGACAATGATCTCCATCATTGGGAAGCTTTATGCCCAAATGACCACATCCACACCTTTTAAGCAGAACCCGGAAAACAGGCGTCGAATTCCCCAACACGCGGCTACATTGATATAGCTGGTTTAGTTCGGGACGTTTATCAATCTCCGATCGTCGCCACTTGGGCTATCCCTATGGCTATGTAAAAGCGGAAGCATTTCAAACGGGACTCCTCATTGACGCAAAAGCATGAGGTGCAAACCGCCTCGCAGCACGTCTTGTGTGGAATTGAAGCGCCGTTCGTACCACCACGAGATGTGACTCGGCCGTTTCGGTGGTGATAATGCCATTCTCTTGAGAAATTCCCATTGTCAATCCACTTGTTCATCCCGTTCAAACAATGGGACTGGGGGGAAGCAGTTCATATCGTCCAGGATGTCGTTTCCCCAGTACCTGGCCTGGTGGTTGATCATGTGTCACAACACTTCCGGTGATGGTTAAACCCAAGGTATCGCGGGGTTTACAGGGTTTGAACTGGTCACAATGGGGCTCTTTTCCATAGCTTAATGGCCTAGGAACTGGTGCGGAGACCCTTGTGATACATATCGGACGAAAAGGGACTGCGTTGCTTTACAATTTCCCGTCGCGAATGCTCTCGTGAACCTCGAAAGTGAAATTGGCAGCAATCCTTCATTCATAGGGACTGGCTCCCAAATCTTTTTCCCCTCTCCAATTTGGGACGTCAACGGGATCACAGCGGGCCTGTGTCATGGACTTTGCCTCTATGCGGCTTCATGCAACTTCCTCACTCCTGTTGGTTTGAAATGCTCGACCCGCATGTCAAAGGAATTCTTCTGTCCAAACCCTCTATCAGCGATATACATGATGTCTCTTCTCCACCTGGAGAGTCATCATGGTCAGAACAGTATAAATTCTCCTTCAATCCCTTGTGCAGACGGACGTGAAAGAGAGCATCAATCACCGGAACGCAAGCCGAGAACAGTCTGCCGCCAGCTTCACTGTCTGGAACACTCCTTTGGCAATATACTCCTTTTGACCATCACCATGCTGTTCGTACGTGCCTTTATCTTCCTATTCTGCGCGCTCATCGGCGTCACTCTGGCAGCGCCAGCTCCGCAACCCGATTCCCAGTCTGAGCTACAGGCTCGCGATCAAAAGCAAGTCTACAGTCCTTGTATTGAAACCGCGCCAACGGGGGCCGGCACACTAACAGCCAGTCCAGGCTCGGTAAGGGCACAATCTATCAGCAATTAGGCGCCTCTGGTTCCTGTGGCAGGAAACTCGGTGACGACGCTATGATCGTCGCGCTCAGCAACGCCTGGATGAAGGGTCAACCTAACGCGCCCTTGTGCGGCCGAAAGGTGAAGGCCACGAACAAGAAAAACGGCAAAACTGTTGTCGTGACTGTTGCGGATACTTGCGCAGGCTGTGGAGCAAATGACCTCGATTTCTCGGTCGGAGCATGGAATGCTCTTACCGACAACGCTCCCTGGGGAACGTTTCCCGCCGCCTGGTGCGTTGTTACGAAAGGGGAAAAAAAAATTGTCCTGCGATCCCGGATGCTGATTCTGAAATCTTTGCAGGGATTTTGTATAAATGCACGTCCCAGCCCGTTAACAAGCTGGCCAGCGCTGCACGCGTACCGGCTAGGCGGTTGTTCACACCAAGCAGGGCGCAATTGCGCTCACATTCCACAGCGTAGAAATATTTGCCAGCCAGCCAAGAGGCCGCTTCTGAGTTCAATCCCATGACCACATACATATTCAAGTTGTCTTTGCCCCCCTCAGCATGTCGTTTTCAGTTCAAGTGAACTTCTGTCTGTTCCTACACACAACTAGCTACAGTCACTCTTTTCGTTTTTCAGATTTTGAGTGTTATGCTTTTTTGAAAACCTTTTTCCCTCCCACGCACGGCATGGTCGAGCGAGCAGGATATAAAGATCGAACCCAGGCACACACTAACTCTCCAGTTTGTGATATGGCAAAGGGCTGGCTCCCGATTAGTATGTGCTTTGAGTTTTAACAGGATGTCCTGTACAATGCTTTGGTTTGTTCGATAAGCTGTTGGGTTAATTGAGGTGGGAGATTTCCTCATGCTGCCATCGCAACAAGATTAGATATCGGTGGCCATCAGATTTAATGCATTCAATTGTGCGTTCTGCATTCTCCCTCTCTCTCTCTCCCCACTCCAACTTTGCGTTAATGATTTGTTACCTAAAGCCGGCATTTAACTTAGCGGGTAATATCACTGCATACTCTGTACATCAGGCTATTTTTGCCGAAACCTATTCACTAGATGTCAACTCACAAAGACAGCCATAAGTAGGCATCTAGCATTATTCTAACCCAGAGTCTCCCAGCTACAGGGACGCATCACTTGGTGACGGCATTAGCTCCAGGAGTGTGATGATAGACTTGCATGCATACACTGCCTTTTCTCTCCAAGGCCACAATACCAACCCAGTTCTTCAGGCCAAGTATGCATTTATGCGTATTTGTTGATGTGAAGGACCTGCATTGCATTGAAGCACGAGCTGGCTGCACTTCACCAACATACACAATGTTCTGTATTGGACAAAGCATAGAAGCAGATACAAATCAAGAAAAAAAAAAAAAGAAAAAAAAATTTAGCAAAAGTTGTTAGAGACAAGAACAAAGTGAGGATGATAAGGAGTGATGACTCCTTAAAAATAAAATAGAAAGTGATTTAAAATGCATGATCCCTCATAACATCTAGTTACTTACTTTCATCCCTTGCACAAGAAGGCAAACATTACAGCATGAGCATCCTTAGAAGAGGAAAAGTGGAAAAAGAAACAAAGACAACAAACACAGAAAACACAGAAAACACAGAAAACGCCCCCCTGGGTTTCCACCTCACACTCAGCATAAGCACAATTCATAAAACATTTGAAATGGTAATAATATGGAAACACAAAGATTATCTCTTTTGCTCAATGCCTCTAGTCGATCACATTCATACTAGTGGCTTCAAAATGGGAGAATCAAAGCCAAAAGAGTACTATAGAATATGCAGCATCAGATACAGGGAGCGTCAGGGAAGGCTTAGCATGAATGTCGTCAGCAAATCTTTGCCTGTCGTAGATATGTACAGGCTCCGGGGAGTATCCGGAAGAATATGGGAGTCGGTCAAGTAGCCAATTCCTTGTAACCGCTCGTGGGTATATCGAGTTGAAAATTTTAAACTGTATTTGAGTAGAGGGGTAATCCGGTTGCCAGCGACATAATATTTGCCAGAGTAGAATATAACCTAAGGAGCCAGCGCGAGGTATGAATATCTATGCGCGATTTGCTCTCTCTCGCTGCATTTGGCCAATGCGAACGGCCTCGGTGCCATCGTCTATGATGGACTCATTAAACCAGGGGTGCTTAAGGGCCTCACTGGCTTTGATTCGCGCGAACGGGTCATACACGAATATCCGGCGGAGAAGGTCAAGGAACTGCTTATTGAAGGAATTATTGGCAGGAATGAAGTCCTGGGAATTTTAGTCAGCATGGATGCCTGCAGGATTGGATGGAATACTGCAAGGTGCTTACCTGCAATTGCTTCATAGCCTTTACATATTTGCGAGACGACCGAGGAGTATCCTGGTTCGGATAATCCAGCCTAGTCCGGTTGAAATACCTAGCTTTAAATTAGCACCGGCTGAAATTTACGGAGAATCGGGAAAAAAGAAAAAAGGAACTTACTTGGCAGCGGGATTCGATCCATTACGTCCTTGCATTACTTGTCTCACCAGCTTGGTATCGATCCGGCTTCCCACGACGCTCTCCATCATTGCAAGATGCTCGAGGTTGTCGTGGGTCTGGAAGAGAGCATCTCCAGTGAAGAATTCGACTAGGATACAGCCGATGCTCCAGATATCGCAGGGGAACGTCCATCCAAGGTTGAGGATGATTTCTGGAGCACGGTAGTGGCGAGTCGAGACGACGGAGGAGTGATACTCCTCTTCAAAGGTGGCAGAGCCGAAATCTATTAACCGGATCTCGCTGTCTAGCAGCACCCGTCGCTGACGGGCAGTACGGTTGGTGGTATGAGATGAAGAGGGAATTGTGCGATTGTACGTAAATGTTTGATAGGCGTTGTTCACCAAGAGAATATTTTCAGGCTTCAAATCGGTATGGATCAGGTTGACATCATGGAGAACTACGATAACTCTGTCAACCAATGTTTCGCATCGCATGTACATATGTCCAAAGGGGAAAACTTACAAGCAACACTCGTGAACAACTGGCGAGCAAAACTCTGGATCTGACTGCTTGGGAAAGGTACAAAGCCATTTCCTTTGAGGAAATCAAACACACTTTGTCCTAGCAGATCAGTCACGATGCAGATATGGTTTCGAAAGTCAAAACAGTCCCGAAGATGTATGCACTTGTTGCGGTTGGTTTCGTCGTTGGATGCCAGGGTCGATAGGACCCTAAGTTCAATACGAGAGGCATCACGATACTTTTGGACAGATCGAATGATCTTGATAGCGCAACGGGTTTTCTTCTGCCTATCAAAAGCCTCAACGACTTTTCCAAATGTTCCTTGGCCCAGCAGCTTGATGATCGAATCTGAATACAGAGTTTTACCCGTTAGTAATGGCGGAAAGGAGAACAGGGGGTTATGAAATGTGTGAAAAAAAAAAAAAAAAAAAAGAAAAAAAATTAGCCAATGACAGGGATCCAGACTCACATCGATCAGTCAAATTTGTATCAGGAGTGACGATGTAATGGCCATCATCGTCGTCAACCTTGGAATGTTTTGTAAAGTTGGGCTGGGATGGCGGTTAGCACGGCCCAGTTAAAAGCGGGAAAAGAGCATGGTCGACTCACGTCGCGGATCACAGGAACATAAACATCCTTCGCCTTGATGGGCGGCTTAGGGGGTGGAATATATGTGCTGTATCCAGCGATTTCCAACTCTCGACGTTTCTGCTCATCGCGGGCTGCCTTGCGTGTTACGACCCGTTTGCGCTTCTGGCCGATCGCGGCATCTTCGTAGTACACATTATTGGTCGGGGCGCTGCCGTGGGATCCCAACGACGTCGGTGCAGTGGTGTGAAGAGAGGCAGTACGGTCCGTAGAGAGTGAGGTCCCCGAAGAGCCTTCACCATACTGTTGGACGGCCACGGAGTAGCTTGGAGGATCATGATATGAAAGGTCGTAAGTCGTTTCGACACCGGTGCGTCGCTTCTTGCTCGCAGGCTGTGCAGCGACGCCATTGCCGTAGGAGGCCATAGAGGAAGGCTTCACGGTGGATGATGTGTAAACAGAGTTGGCCGCAGATGTATTTTGTGGATCATCCTCGTCGTCATCAATGACGATAATTTCCTTGGGGACGCCATTTTTGTAGAACTCGTTCCAATTCGGCTTTCTCCGACGACTTTGGGCCGTTGGGAGGGTGGTGGACGTCTGATATGCCGCCATGGCCGGCTGGGCTTGAGATGGTTTGGAGGCGGAGGACGAGGGAGGAGGGAGGGCGGCGGCGGCAGGCTGGCAGGGATAGTTGTAGTTGGTGACGCGGGTTGCGGCCACGGCGGCGGAGGAGGATGAGGAGGAGGTGGCCGCAGGGTACGCGGTAACGTTGGAGTGGAAGGAGGACTGGTGAGGATATCGGTAGTGCGGATGATTCGCCGGATGGGTGGCAGTGGCAGTGGAGGGAGTCGACATGACGAACCCGAGAGGCCCGACGAAGGCCGTTGAGAGCGTGCGAAACGGGACGGATTTTCTCTCCGAAAAACGATGTTTAAAGGGGTGATCGGGTAGATGGTCGAGCGATGAGCAGCTCAACGGGCACAAGGACGAGCCAGAGTAGAGGAGGGGGCGAAAGGGTGAGAGTGCGTGGTCGAGTCAGACGGACTAGGTGTGGGCTTGACGACCAAGGGGAGATAGGAATCAGGGAACACAAGAGAAGACGTAGGAGGCGAGAGAACGTTCAGCCAAAAGCAGCTAATGGCGAGGGGATCAGGCGAGATGGAGTTACGCTTAGCAAGGAGGACGGCGAGGCCACAGAGTCCGGTGACGATGCCCACCTGGAGACCGGGGCAAGATGCACAGGACGAGGAATCAGAACACTGGACTCAAGCGCGGGGAGAAGGGAGTGGATCGACCATTGTGGGCAAGACGGCAGGAGGGTGGAATGGGCATTGGGATGGAGTTGCAGAGAGAGGCAGTGAGGGAGAGGGAGGGAGAGAATGGTGATGGACAAGCCGGGCAGAGAGGGCGTTGCGAGGGCGGAACGAAAAGTCTCTTTTTTTTTTTGCCGGCCGTGCTCGATGATGAAGAGTTGCGCTGGGAGGCGAAAAGAACAGGAAATGAGGGAAAAAAAAACAAAAAAGAAAAGGGTAGAAAACACACAACACGCATACAGGATGGAGAAACCAGGTAGTGAGACTGACAAGTTCGTCAAATCAAAACCCATCTCATTAAACAATGGCAGATTCTGAAAATGATGCCCATAAATCAGTCAAATACAGAGAGTAGTCAGTTGGTTCACCTGTCGGGGCGTCCTCCCTCCCAGCCAACGCAAATCGAGTGAAGAAGACTTGCGACAAAAGGCTCACCGGCCCTTTTTTCTTTTTCACCCACTTTTCAATTGACAAACTTCTTGGTCTCTCTCTCTCTCTCTCTATCCTGCTGCAGAAGGGATCACTTAAATTATCAGTTAATCAAGTTCATCCTTCTCGAGCGTGGATGGATCTCCTGTTTGAGACCTGTCGCCCGTCCCAATCTCGCGTCAAAAACATATCAAACCATGTATTTATTTGACCGCAGCTTCATACTCCAGATCTCATTAACCTTCACTGTGGCCAGGCCACTCTGATTACCTTTATTCAAGTTGATATTTTTCTATTATGTTCATTTCATCGCTAGTACATTCATGATACCCTAGGAAAACCTTGATATTCCACAATGTTCGAGCCCTACAGGCATCAGTTGCATTTGACAGTAGCAGTATGGGAGAGGAATGCGTCACTGCTAGTCGTGGCATTGGTCAAATATATCTTAAGGGATGGTATTACTATACCCATCACCACAGCCTTGACAATCTATCCTGGCGGACTTTGGAGAGTATACAGGAATGGTTCTAGGCTCTAATAGAGATGCTATCCCCCTGAATTCTGCAGATACCCGTTTCCAGCCGGCCAGAAATTATACTTATACAGTGTACTCCGTAGCAGATATCAAAATGCCCTTGGTCCAGGCTTGTTTGGCACAAATCTGTCGCTTCTCTGAGAAATGTGTTCTGTTCGAATGAATGTAGAAATTTCAACCTTATGGCGAAATGGTTAAATCCATGATCAGTGATAAGAGCAAATCAAAATGCATGTTCTCAATTGGCTCCTAACAAGCCTGTAGGGATGAGATGTAAAAAGTTGCATAAGCACGATTCTCTCCCATTATTTCATCGCTCTCGTTTGGACCTTACGTCAAGCATTCTAACCCATCGCCCCCCGGCGATCGGCGCGTTCATTCCCAGCCGAACCGATGATCAAAAGACGACTTCGCCCTGGGCTTCTCGAAAATGGTGCACTGCGAGTTTAACCTATCAGATCTGGTCAGATCACAGCTTGTTATTATCGAGGCTATGTGAGTCAGTGGCCATGCCTGAGTCTTCTTAACTGTGTGCAGTGTGTTGGTTACTGAGCAAAAATTACGTATCGATCCAGCTCCATTGGCGGAACCGGGGCAAGGCTTGTTTGGTGGAAACAAGGAATAGAATTGCGGAGGAGAGGGAATATGGCACGAGGACAAAGTGCAGCGACGGCGGAAGAGGGTGGGCAAAGCAGTAGTTAGCTGGCCGTGCTCAAGATATAAACTTGCAATTGACCCTGTCGACACTTCAGATGACGGAGGCAAGTATAACATCAACAAATAACAAATGAACTTGTAAAGTCCGGAATTGCTCTATGATTGTTAGCCATAAGAACAAAAGCAATAATGCCTTAGACCCAAGATACTACACTAACTCTTAAAGCCCAGACCAGGGCATGTAGACATCAACAGAAAGGAATCTAGATCTATCACAGAAAAGTCCAAAAGATCTATGCCTTGTAATAAGAAATCCGCGAACTCCGTGCCGATATCTAGCCGTTAAAACCCGAACATGACTTACATTCCTCACTTCCGCCCCTTCTAAGCAATTAGCTAAAATGAAATGGTATCGAAAAGGTGCGAAGACAGCTTTCGGCCAGCGGTCCAGAACTATATTCCCCGGTTAAACTCAACCAAACCATCTTTCCCTCCGCAATCCCAGAACTCCTCCTCAAGCTTAGAAGCACTGATGGCCTGCCGTTGAGGGAAGGCTCCAAGTGCTAGCGGAAGCGCGAAAATCGATGTCGCGAAGATTAATCCTATAATACAGGGTTAGTTTTTTCATATGCAATCAAATTAGAGTCTAGTGTTTTCGTACCCAGATTCACCGGAAGGACGAGACGAGGCCGAGACTTCAGCCAGTCCATCTTCTGCAGACGAACCAATATTAATGGTGGGAGAACCATGATCGGGGTAGCATTGAGCACGCGGCTAACAGCAGTTTCTCCGACCGCCAGAGTGGCAGCCTTCTTGCTCTTGCCGAGACTCTTAACCTCTCCTCCGTCTACCTCGCGCTTCGCCTTCTCTTGCACTGTGAGGACAGGGTAGATGTCGATGCCTTTCCGGATCTCCTCCCCACGCATGAGGAACACGTTGAGTGCACCGGCAGTGGCGACGGCAGCAAACGGCACCAGTCTCCCGAGAATCAGTCTCGTGTTTGGGGTTAATTTCCGTAGTCGAGGAACGACAGAATTCAGTCCCAGGGCAACGGAGCACGAAGCTGAAACCGCAAGCAGGTACGACTTTACAATCGACGAGGTGGAAAGGGGAGTGGATTTGTTTGCGTTGGCGTTGTTGATGGCGACGTTCAATGATTGGTTAGTTATCTGCCATAGCAGGGTCCCCGTTGTCTGCCCAGGATTCGTTAGTAAACTCCGCTGGGTCGTGCAGGGATGGAGCGGATGGGGAAGGGGAGTGGGAAGGTAATCTGTCTCCGTACCCTAAGTCCGGGCGTAAGCATGCCAGCTGTCACGATTAAATTGGAGAGCACGAAGCAGGACATCCGGAACGGGAGGAAGACTGGTTCGCCAGTATCTAAGAGAGTCGTCAGTCAGCGCTTTGCCGGCCCCCCGCCCCGGGAAGGAGACACGTTGACCACATACCAGGGTGCAGCGTCGAATCCACTATTCTCTTTGCATCCCAAATCTCCGGGGTCATGGCTGCGATTTTGCCATCCTTATACGATGCAAGGACTCGCTTTGCATTCTCTAAGCCGGCCGAGGATACAAAGAGTGTTCTATAATATTTGGCGTCATTGGTCATTCGTTTGACTCCTATAACAGAATGGGTCCTAGGGAGCTGTCCAGCGCAAAACGGCGCCCACGTCGACTGTCGCGCTGGATGGGAGTTCTATTGACGTACCTCGGATCTGATATCTCTGCGGCCTGCTTGACCCGTCCCCAGTAAGTGCTGAGGTCATGTTTCGAGGCGGGAAGATCCCGACTACCGGACATGGAAGCTGACATGTAAAGGCTCACTGAATCTCAGCACGGCGATGCGAAATAGGGTAATTAGACTCCTCCGTATATCCGAGGGATTGAGTGGGGGACAAGAAAGTCAGAGCAGAGAGAAACTACGGCCAAAGGGGATTCCCGGAGAGCATTAAATCAATTAAAAAAGCTGAATCTCCTTGAATGAAAGTGTGTGTGCAATGCAAAAGAAAGTCCAAGAAAGCAAAAGCAAAAGAAAAGCACCGAAGAAAGGGAGGGCGTTTATCGTCGGCTTGTTGTGGAATGTTGATCTGACGCAGACTCTCCAACAGAATCAATCCATCATTTAAATTTCGTGATTCTTTTTTTTCCTATCTTTCTCGCCGGCCTCGGGGGCGGTGACGGGGGGCGCCGTGGCTTGGCAAAATGCGGCGCTAATCCAAATTTGGTATGCCAAGAGAAGCTTGTTTTGTACCCAAGACAAACACTAAGCCGTATAGAGCTAGTTAGTCACATGAAGTGGTTCGTGCGGGTTGTCAGGTGACCTCGATGCGTGGGCAAGAGCGATGATTGGCTGAAATTATTTATTTTGTTTGATTTGTTTGCTCTACGTGCTTCTAGCATGGCGTAGTAGAACTTGAGGCTCCAAGAGTCCAAACCAACATCAAAAATTCAAAATCAACGGACAGGAACACTTCGGCGGAACAAAAGACTCGAAGCTGGAAAGACAAATAAGAAAGAATATGACAGGCAGCTAAAGGTAGGCGGGCTAATTCTCACACACAGCCGTGTCTCGACTAAAACACAAGAGAAACATACACCCCGGAGCTGCCCATCTTTGGATCCTTCCTGCTAATGCCCTTAGTCCATTAGCATGGCCGAACCCCAACCCTCTGCCTGGGATAACCTGCTGCTGTCGGGGTGGCAAATTGTAAGGTTAAGCTGGGGGGTTGCAGGGTGATGACGGCCTCTGGGGGTAGTGCGCCCTTCTCCGTGAAAGAGTTGGTCTAGCATTTCTCCAGCGGAAGCACGTTGCCCGGCGTCAACAATTGCCATCATTTTCAAAGGCAACAGGCTGCTATGCCGAGCTGCCTCTTGGATAGCTTCTATCTGACTCTTTGGGTTCCCGATAAGGTTAGGGTTCCGGAATTGTGTTCTCAATTCTGCTACATTTAAAATCACAGCAATGGCGACAAAGAGCGACCAAATATCCATCTTGTGGGTCTGCGAGACCCGGCCGTTTATGAGTACTTCCGGGGCCATGTATGGTGGGGTACCAGCCCTTGTCGTGGCCCTTGTCGCATAATTGCATAAACCAAAGTCTGCAAGCTTAAAGTTATAGCTTCGGTCTGGTGCAGTCAAGTATAGTATATTCTCGGGCTTCACGTCTCGATGGATAAGGCCTCTTAGAGCGAGAAGGTCCAAGGCCTTCAGCATCTGATGGAGGAGCTCCGCTGTTAGGTTATGATCCGTGATGAAAGCACCGTCGTCCATAAGACGGGCGACTGAGCCCTGCATGCGAGGCATAACTATAATAAACATATGCATGCTCTTCCATTCGGTCCAGAGATACCTTATAATATTTTCCTGCTAAATGTTAGCGCGGAACTGGTGCATTTACGGCACAGAAGACAAACACCACTTACGTGTTTGATGCTCCCAATATTTTCGACTTCGATCTTCAGACTTTTATACGCAGTTCCATGTTTTGGAGTGTCAGGCAAAGTCACATTTTTGACGGCTAGCAACTCGCCAGTGTCAACATTTACACCTTCAAAGACCTCCCCAAAAGTACCACGGCCCAGGGGATAATTCGTCCGGTAGCGGTAGCGAAGCTTTGGAAACTGGGGGGTATGAATTCGAGTGAATCGTTCTGGGCCTAACGCCGTATCCTCCTCACCACTCGTGTCCGATATGGTGAGACAGTGATCGGAACCTCGGGAATCAATCTGCCGTCGGATATCAAAATGGACTCTGTGCCAATGTATTCTAAAATGGTAAAGATTGCTATTGGATCCTCCAAAGGCAAACTCGGTGTTGAATATCGCATGTATCACGGCTCGCCGAGGGGTGCGGCCCGGTTCAAACGGTACTGCATCGAGTCCTTTGAACTGCGTATTATGGTGTCGAGATCGATCGGTGAGCCTGAACATTCCCGTGCTTTGAACAACCTCAAAGGAACATTGGATCCGGGATATAGCGCTTCCCGAGACGATAATGTCTCCCTCGCGACCAATAGTTGCCAAAGTGCAAGGGGAAGATGACTCGATGTTGAAGCCGATATTTAACCCTCGCCCTCTCTCTGAAGGGTAGGCATCATCGTTGTAGTCGGGGAGGTATGAGACATGAGGTTGATTTTTGGGATGATCAAGAGCCCTAGAACTTCGCTCGTTAAGGGGAACAAGCGAAAACACGGATAGTGGATGGGGCTCTGAACGTATCATTTTACACAGCACAATCCAGAAGCCTGTGTGCCGCACGGTGCTAGACCGAAAAGCACCCTAAGCGCTGCGCCAAAAGAGAACGTTCTCTTAAGGCCAGGACCCCAGCGGTGCTTCCTTTTGAGCCACCAGTATCCTAATGAGCCATGAGACACGATACCATCACGAAAGAAGATATTAGGGCCCGGAGAAACTCTGAGAAAATTCGAAACCAGATTATGGGCCGTCAACCCGAAGACTTATTCCCGCCAACATGCTCTCCGAGGCTCCAACACTCATTCTCATGCACGGTGTGCTGCAATGTTCTTGCAGCGGTCCTGCAGGGGGTTTAGCCTGTGCCATCGTGGGGCGTCCAATCCTGGAGAAGAACGACGAAAAATGGCCGGGTTGACGCGGGCTAGAATGGGTACTCCGTACCCTATCGAAATTCTGACACTGATGGTGGTGCATGAGGCTTGGAGGGCAATGATAAAAGCCAGGCTATTGGCACAGGCATTTTGACCTAGAAGGCCAGGCAACATTAAATAGTCAGTTGGAGGGGCTCTCTGAGGCGACAATAGGACGCTATAAATAGGAATGCCAGCACAATTCCGTAACTCTGCATGTAACACACTATGTAATTGCGGATGCACACACTCGGCCTGAAGCAGGAGCGCATAGACGAAGTGAAGGCTGGGGTTTAAAGAAATTAAGCTATTGCGCCACGAAAAGGTATGTATGTAATTCTATTAGGCGATGGATTCTGAACTTTTTTTGGGGAGATGCTTAGTTACATAGTATGTTATATTGTACTGTATAATTAAAGTACGGAGTACGGAGTACTCAATACAGTAATTGAACAACATACACACATTCATACAAAAATCAGGCCAGGTAGGAATGAGCTCTGATCTTAATACTCCCGTACTGTATGAAATAGAGTCATCATAATTATCAGTGCAAATTATTATCTGGTAACCTCCTTACTTGACCCTAACCTAGAGACATAAAGAGATACCAGCACTATATATTGAATACTGAATCCAAAAGTATGTACAAAATCTCCCATGGGAGAAAAGAATGAAGGCGTGCACAGTCCAGTTACTTTATTCCATCACTGGCCAGCGGAAGATATCCTTTAGTTGCGGGTGACATCTGCAATGAGTTAGCACCAACAGGTCTTATAAAATAGCAGGATGAATACTGACCAGCAGCAAAGAGAGAGTAGTTGTCAGCATTGCTAAGAGACTGCTGGGCATTAAGTCTCCTGCATTGCTCATATCCATAAGCATGGTCAACAGTGCCAGGGCTGAAAATGCTAGTAGCATGTGTGAACTCATGGACAACAACATAGCCGTGGTCAGGGTCAAGGCCGCGGTTCACAACAGGAGGAAGGCGCCAGTAGTCTGGGCAGTTGACAACATGGCTGCGGGCAGGGATGGTGTAGGCAATGAGACCCCTCTGGCAGTTGCGGTAGACATCCTGGCAGAAGTAGATCGTGCGGCCCTGATTGGCAGAGCTACATTCTTGGGCAATGGCCTGGAAGCGTCTGGCAACACTCTGGCGTGCCTGTTGGCTGGTGGTCTTGAAGTATTCCTGGAACTTCTGAGCATTCCCTCCAGAAGCTGCTTGGGCAGCACGCTGGGCATAGGTGACACAGTTGCGAAGACCACCTTGCAGGAGTTGGGCGTATTGACCAGTACAAGTCTGGCCATCAACACGTGTGCGCTTGTCAAGCTCTGGAATGGCACTAGCCACTTTGGAGGCCATCTCACCATCAATATCCATGGTCAAGACATTTGCCTTGAATCGAATGGAGCCAGTGGGCTTAGTGCCCTGGCCATCAATGACAGGGATGCTGCCTTCGGCAGAGATCTCAAAGGAGCCACCAGCAGAGAGGTCAGATGTCTCAGCAATATCAAATTCAGCTTCAGCACTGGCACCTGGGGCCAAGGTCTTGTAGGCCTCCTTTGGAAGGTTGTTGATGTCATAGTAGAGACGCATGCCGTTGAAGGGAACAATAGAGCCTGAAAGTCAGAAAGTATTAGACCAATGCCTTAGGAAATATAATGCAGTAATACAGTATAGGGATATATACCATCCTTGGAGATCTGGACCTTGCGCACAGGTGAGGAGTCAAACAAGGTATTATATTTCACAAAGGACATCTCATGGTCAGCATTGTTGGTGATGATCGCCTTCACACGGGTGTTTCCAATGGGGATGAGCTTGACATCGAGTCCAGTATCGCGCTCAGCCAACTCGTTGACAGGCAAAGCAAGAGCTTGGACAGCCAATGCCGCCAGGGCAATCAAAGAAGATGAAAGACGCATTTCAAGGAACAATGAGAACAGACAATTTTCCCAAGGACAAGCTAAATGTTGGAGAGCGGGATGCAATGGAGCGCGATCAGCCGAAACGAACGAGCAGGTCATTGGAAACTTATATTACATCTGACTTCAAAAATTTCCCATAGAGAGGAGACCACCCGCGGAAATGAGCGGGAGATGAGCGGGAGCATTCATTTCGCGCCGGGTAGTTTAATTGTAGCAGCCCGCAGAAAAACAAATGAAGATGCATTTGCAAGGAGACCCCGTCAGCAGCGCTTCCTCTCAGCCAAGCAAGCTTTGATGAAGAAGCAATCGGAAACGTTACAGGTGGAATCATACATTTCGCCCGCTGAAAAAGCCGAGGGTCCGGGGTAAAAGAAACGTTCAAAAAACAAGTGAAAAGTGCACTTGATTGCGGAGTTCACCCACATACTACCTTTGCCTATGGTAGTATAGTTGCATGGCTTCATCACTTTGAGCTTGCCAAGAGGAAAACTTATCAATATCGCCCAAGATTTGCTGATATCCAAAGGTTGAAAGCATTCTGCAATTCGATATCGCGGAGCTCATGCTCGATCGAATCATGCCAAGCAAAATCAATATATGTATTTTGCGCCCGGGTATTTCGGGTTTCGGGGCCCTGGAGAAGAAAAGGTCGGGTCGAGTGTTGCTGAGTGAGGTTGTATCGCCTCGGTGCGAAAAGGTTCCTGGAGGAAGTCCTGGCTCAAATTCAGCGCCGGTTTATCGGACACCACAGGCCAGCGTGTCCTGGTTGCTGCATGATCCATGGTTGTTTCTCAATAACGGTCGCTTAGCAGTCAGCACTGGGTCAGCAAGGTTGATCCTTTTCATGTGGGACGATCACTTGTCAGGGATTGCACCAGTTCAGCCCATCTGGGCGCTGAAAGCTTGTCTCGCACAATGGGGACCTCAGCCATCCGGTCTCTTAGAAAAATAATATTCTTCAGTCAGAATTTAGACCTGCATCTCCTGGATAGTATCTTTGTGGTCATGTTTGGCCGGAATCCCCAGCTTTCCTTGGGGTTCGGCAAGCCGAATTTCGCGCTCCTGAAGTGACGGGATTGGGAGGCAGACTATGCCTTGGCGCGTGGAAAGCGCGGAATTCCTGTCAGTGGGATCCCTGCACGATCGCGGACCGAGTTCCTTTTCGCAACTGGCCTGGTGGCCTCTTGTCGCTCTCTGTGACAGGCTCGAAAGTCCTTTGCGAGGTGTCCGTGCATGGCTTGCTGCATGTTGTGCCCCTTTGAAGCGCTTCTCCGCCTCTCAGTCCAAAATTCCCACCCGCGGGCCGGCTAATTAACAAGTCAGTTAACTACTCCGTAATCTACTCCGTACTCCGTAGAGACAAGTGAGATCACGGAAGGCCAAATTTCTGGCCTCCAAAAGTTGCGAACAGAGACGTATGATTCAAACCCACCGAAATACTTGGCTGTGAAGTTACATTGGAGAATGACACGGAATCCGTTGAAGTTGAAGAAGGGAAAGGATTTGGGAGCTCCTTTTCGGCTATTATCCAAAGATTTCCCACCGAAAGTCTCATCTTGCCTGCATTTTGCACCTGCAGAACAGCACTGAGGACAAAGGGTTCAGATGAGGCTGCTCATTCAGCAATGGGTGGGTGACAAGTGATGTAACTACATACCTCACTCGACCATGTGACAGGAATTTCTATTCACCATTTCGAGCTCACTGGAATTTTTGAAGGCAAGCAGAGGGCATGATCATGTCTCCAACTCCAGAATGTCTGCCCTGTCCAGTCAAACGCGAGCAATATTTCAGTTTCCTCTATATCCTTTTTGCACCCACCGCTTAATTCCATAAGCAGCACTGCTGTCACCAACTCAACTGGCAATAAGGACGTGTGGGGTCATGTGATTACATCTCTATGAGGGTCTCATGCTGTTCAATCCCTTTTTGTCCATGATCTTGGATTTTGCTCTTGAAAATGCACAAAGTGGCTTTTGTCTTCTTGTCTGAGGCCGTGAGCCCAGTGCATATCCTGGAAGTCAGGCTTGACCTTGTCATGCCGGCTCTCATGTGTGCCCATGACTTTTTTTGCCAATAGCCAATATATCTGAAACAAAGATGTTGAAACTTGAGGCATAGTTAACCCCCTTCGGGCTTTTGTCCCTAAGAAGATCGATCCGCCAGCCAAAAAAAAAAAAAAAGGAAAAGAAAAAGAATCGAATTCTCCTGCCATGTTTCAAGGTGCCTACACTAGCCAATGGGGATCCCTTGCAAATCTTCGAGATCCTGGTTGATAAGCCTAGAAAATTTGTCCTAATTGCAACTGCCCTGTGTATTTCCTGTCTCCGATCATGCTCAAATAGACTGACAGACGAGCGGAATGAACCTTGGCCATATCTTCCAGTCCTCTGTGCAGGCTGCTATCCCTAGATGGATTTATGCCACTTCCTAGAATATAGCTGCCGACTTGGAGGCTTGGTCTAGAAGGCTGGAGTTTGCTCCTGAATGACATTGTCTGTTTCTTTTATCCGGGTGGGATGAACTGTGAGCTGGTAATGCTAGCTATAACCACGCCAAACCCCCCACAATATATATAACTCATAGTTATGAGCAGTGTTAGTTAGCCTGGTTTATGACTAGCAGTTATTGGCAGACAATCACTCTGAAATTGAGGGGAATATGGCCAATAGGTATATTGCTCTCTTATGATCTTTAGAAGGGGTACTAGGAAGTAGGAGGAAAGAAGGTCGTTGTTAGATGTGGATATTGATATATGTGCTGTTTGAAATGGTGTATTGGATGCAAGTGAGAGAAAACTGCTGGTTGCCAGCATATGGAGGAGGATTGTATTGCGAGAAAATGTGGCTTTGCTGGCCAAAAGAGCCCACATATTGATGGTAAATATAGATTCCAAGAAGTTGTGAGGTCCAGTCACATGTTGGTATATTGGTAAATAATGTAGATCAGGATGAGCAGTGAATTTGTCGTCCTATTATCCGTAAGCGCCCATTTGGACCAAGTTATTGTGAATGCTTAATAAAAGCTGAACGATTGTGCCTGTGACCTGGCACTGTATCCCATGCTGCTCTATGCACCTCTTGCTCTCTCTCTCCATGATCATAGTTGTACAATTCTGATCCCGGCATCTCAGTCCATCGCCACGTCACACAAGTGATTATCTACTGTATATTTTTTTTAACTTTGCGCTTTATGTTGTGCTCTGTATGGAGTATAGCTAATGTTATCAATCAATTGGGCCTTTGGTCTCTTTTTCAAGACCCCTCATATCAAGGCGGTGGCCGTGGGGCCAAGGGGTATTCTTGGGGCGTGGGGAATGGTTGGGCTGGGAATTTGAAGGTCAATCATTCAAGGCAGATGATGTCGCGAGGGACAACAGGCACTGATGCAGTGGAGATCAGGGAGGATCCTGTGTGGGCCGGCCACCGTGCTCGCAAGTTGAAGCAGACAAGACAAGCTTCCTCGACGGCAACGCATTCTTCCTTGCCTCCGAACAGGTGCCTGTTCCGCAGCATCTACCTGTCTTGTGCGTCATTTGGTAATTAACTTCTCGAAGAATGAGATAGATAGATATTAACCTGTGAGTCTGCAGCGAACTGACTCGGAGGGATCGACCCATGATCATCGGAGTGATGACCGTGGCAAGATCGTCAATCCATCGAGGCTGTTTCTATTTATGTACGCATCTAACCACTACGGTCTCATTGTCGGGATCGAGAGACAGCTCTCGCCTCTCGTGAGCTACACGGCATACAACCCTACAGACATGCCGGAGCGCATTAGGAATGGAGCCGTATTTTAATATTGAATCCACGGAGGGGCAAACTAGGTGGGTTTCCCTTTTCCTGCATCCTTTTTCTTTTTCTTCCACTTCCTTTCTTTCTTTCTTTTTTTATTTTTTTTATTTTTTTTATATTTTTTTGGCTTCTGGCAGCCGAGGAGGACCGGCAAGGACCACTCAGAGCTGGCTCTTCCATGGTTCGGCGGAAGGCTATCTCGCCGTCCAAGAGCTGGGATTTGCTCTCGCAGCTTTGTCCAGGAGCCAGCCCATGTCGCACCATGGAAATGGAGCTGAAAGAGTATGGGGACTGGAGAACGGAATGATGTTAATTACGCAGAAAGGAATCCTGTTGGACTGAAGGAGAAGGGGAAAAAAAAAAGAGGAAAAAGATAAACAAGAAGCAAAAAAAATCAAAAATTGAAAGTAACCGTAAAAAGACAGATTTAAATATCTTGTGAAAACTTGGAGGGATCCAAGTATTATTTATCGTGCAGGACGGTTGTGGCACTTCCGCGAGAGCAGCGAAAAAGCAAAAAAGCAAAAAAGGCCAAAAGCAGCAGAGAGAAGAGTCAACAGCGATTGAAATCACCACTGAGCTAGCTAGCCAGTTATTCCGTAACCACGTCCGCAGCGAGTTGCAGAGCGAGCTCCCCGGTCAGCTAACTAGTTATTTAGTTCGTCGGGCGGGCTAAGAAGAAAGCAGAGCTCGCGAAATCAAGGAACGGACGGCCGTCGACTCTCTCCGTCAGGCTGCTGATAGAAAAATCCTTTTTCTCCCTGCCGTCCCTCTCCCTCTCTCTCTCTTACCTTTTTTTTTTTTTTTTTTCTTTACCCTGTCCTCGTCTTGCTGCCTTGGCGAACGACGATGATGCTGTTGCTGCTGCACTGACGGATCCTCGCCAACCCAACGTCCGTCTCTCTTCTTTGGCTGGTTAGTGTACGTGCTCCCTCCCCCTGCTGCCTGCTTGGAAGGCCGCCACAGGAACCCGCAACGGACCGCCTCAAGACATCACCTTCAATCCCGATTCGTCTTCTTCTGCCTCCCTTCACCCCAGCAGCACGGCACGATAGTCTACCATCACACACCTCTTTCTCCGTAGCTGGCTATATATACACACAGTCATCCCGCTGTCCATGCCCAGTCCTCTCATCCTCCCCGATCCACACCCCATTCGTGCAAATTCCTGACAGTTACCTCTTCTTCCTTTTGTTGCTTCCAGCTGTTCCTCCGCAATTAGGTACCCTGCTTGTCTCCCGTGTCTAACATCGAGCTCGGCTGGCCACCCTCCAGGAGCAAAATCCTCGACTCATGATAGCCAAACAAAGCTCGCTGATATGAATTGGGACCACCCAATCCACAGGTCTGTTCCTCCTCACCTCTCTCCTGTCTCTCTCTCTCTCTCTCTCTCTGTCTCTCTCTGTCTCTCTTTGTCTCTCTCTCTGTCTGAGAGAGAAGGAAAAAAAAAAAGAAAGGAAGATTTGAATATTTACTACGTTCCATCCCGGCTCACCCTTCCTTTGGCTAGTTTCACGGATCCCAATGTCGAACCTCAGACCCCCACTAGAACTCCCACCGTCCACTCCTTCGATGATACCGCCTTCCAGACTCCAAAATTTGAGTCGAGCTTCTACGATCCCCGCATAACTTGGAACACCGCAGATCCCTATGCCTCCAGCCCCGAACTTTCAAAAGCAGCGCATCGCTTTGACCAGACGCCCAACCAGCGTGCCCAAAATCCTCTCGATCCCACAATCTCCAGGCACAGGCAGATAGACCATGCTACGAGGGCCATTGGTTCGGATGATGCCTCTACGGATCATGGAACAGCCGTCACCGACTCCATTGACTCGGCCAAACGCTCTGCTGCTTCGATGCAGACCCCGCCGCCCACAAGCACAATCCGGAGAAAAAACCAGGACCGGAGCAACAATGCCAACCTGAACCTCAGCACTCCAGTGCAGCCGACATACACCGGCCAACCGCTCGAAACCCCCAGCCGTGTGGTCGGTTTTTCTCCAGGCTTGTTTGGCCTCCAGGATTCCCCCGATCTCTTTAATTTGTCCAGCAACCCAACGACTGCTTCTCCATTCTTCTCTCGCCATCAGATGCCATGGAACCACGAGTCCAATGCTGCAGAAGCTGCCATGGACATTTCTGACGCGTATGGAGATCCATTCGGCCCATCTAACCCTGCCGCTTTGGACATCTTCGAGCCTACTCGAGTGGGAGATACAAATCTAGACACTCTCCAATTGCCGGTGGTGCATGGGTCTGCTGCACTTGATTCTCGTGCGATGGCACATGAGCCCTGTACGCTGGAGGCAAGCCATGCCGCCTTGCACAGTTCAATTGCAACATCTCCTCGGCCGCCCCCTCTTCACGGCGAAGACCCGTCTATGTTTCTAAGTTCTCCGGCCCGACGGTTTGGATATTCAGAGCCCACCTTCTCGCCCCCACTTCGTCCCAGGGTAGAAACACGCCAACCGTATCACTACCAGACAGAAGTGTCGGAGCGTGAAAGGAGGGACAAGGAACTCAAAAGATTGCACCGTCCCAAAAGCTCTAGCCGGCGTCAAAAGACCGCTCGAGTAGAAAGTGCGTCATATGTCCCTCAGGGAGCGACGGGTAAGCCCATTGTAAAAAGGAGCGCCACTCATTCCGGTGCACCACCGCTATCCAGCAGTCGACATCAAAGGCAAAGCTCGTTTTCGAGCGCAGGGCCTGTCATTGGTGGTGGTGGCGTGAAGAAGACACCGTCCAAAGGCCGTACTTCACCGCTGAAGACCCAGCTCACGCCACTCGCCCACCCACCTCCCGCGTCACTGCCGGCTCCCATGGAGTCGCTGGTCCTAAAGATTTCAAAGGATGGCCTTGCCACCACGGAGATGAAGCTGATCTCGGACTCACCCACTCGACTGCGGCCCGGTCTCCGAGACACAGTCTCTGGCGAGTCTTCTACCGAGATCGAATCAGACTCATCCGATGAAGAGCCAGACTATATGATTGCACACAGCCAGAACCCATCTTTTGCCTTTCCAGATAATACACTTCGTAGACCTGATTTCGTCCGTGCACAGTCTACATCTCGACCCCACTCAAAAGGCTCGTCGTATTCGTCGGCAGCTGCCTCCAGTCATTCAGGCCAACTCTCTCCATGGACAGGATCAACGCATTCCAGACAATCACAGCTTTCATCCCAGCCGGAAAGTCGCAACCAAAAGAGACACCCGACACAGCCAGGCCCTAGCCATTCACGCAGCCAATCCATGACGGATTCAGATGCTACTTACGAAGAAGATGGCGCTGGAGATGCTCAGCATGCTCTCATGCAAGTGCTTAAGGGTAGAAAGCGACAGTCTAGACCACCCGTTACGGGTAAACAATTAGCCACGTCATCTTTCCGCCCGTCCACAATTTCCACCATGCGCTCATCACCTCCTTCATATGGTACTCGTCCACTCTCGCGGCCAGCCAGCAGCAATTCACCAACGGTTACCGACCCAGCGCCTCCTACTCCAGCCGCCGATCGCCAGAACAACCCCAGCACCGGCACAAGATGCGTTTGCAACTCTATGAATAATGGCGGACATTTAATGATCCAATGGTAATTAGGTTCCTTGATTCCAGTTCTTGGAAGCATTTCTTGCTAACGATCAATCCTGTAGTGACACATGCGCGCATTGGCTTCATACAAAGTGTGTTGGGTTGGACCGGCAAAGGCTGCCGCCGGTTTACGTTTGCGTGTATTGCACTCAGACGCCCAGCCGTGGCCTTCGGCTTCGTGAACCATTTAGCATCTCAAACTCGTCGCCGTTGGCGCGTAAATTATATGGAGGGCGGTAAGAAAGCATCATCTATGTTGCCCACATTCCGTTGGTTGCGTTCCCTTTCCGCGCAAAATAACTACATGCATATCGAATATCTTAGCGCTTACTAGGCACTAATTAGCGTCTCCTTTGTCGGATATACCAGTTACGTTATGGATCAGTTCCTATACAATCGAACTAAAATTGCTCTCTTAATGTCTCGTTGCGTCAGCTGTTGCCTTTCTGAAATACCCCCTTATATACCCCAGTTCAGCCTTTTTGTACCCATATGGTATACCATGTTCTGTCTCCAAATCATTTATATGTCTCGTTACTGAGCGTTTGTATATATTAACGACCTGTTTATTCTCGTATTGAAAGGTGTCCCCGCTCGACGTGATTTCCATTACCTTTATTCAGATTCTTGGGAAGGATTTTTCCTAGTTTGGATCCACAAGGATACCCATTGCTTTAGCTTTTTCCTCTTTTTTTCTTTTTTTTTTTTTTTTTTTTGGTGTGTGTGTGTGTGTGAGTGAGTGAAGGCCCTGAACGACGGGCAAAGTTTGTAAACTCCCCATTATTAGATGGGCTGGTCGCTGGCTAGACCAGCCCAGTATATCCCTTCTTGTGTTGCATTGAATTGGAATATTAAGCCAATAACTACCTTATCACAGCTGACAAAACGATCATCAGGCACTTGGAGACTCGTTTCTTTTGGATAATCAAGTAGATTAAATATATTACCGAGCAGCTACGGAGTGTACGTGCCTGACCAAGTAATTTTTCCCACGCCAAGGTAAGAGAAAATAAAAACCAAACATTTATCAATAACCGATGAATCTGTCGGATACAAAACAAATCTCGTCTACGGAGCACGCCACACTCCTTCATATCAGTATGCTGTATCCGCATGGACACGAACAGCCACAATCACGTCCAATCAGGACGACTCCTTGCTCGCCTCTCGAAAATTGTCCTGGACATATTTGCTCAACGCCGCAACTTTCTTGCTCAAATCCGTAATGCTTCCCTCCGCCATGATTTCAATCAGGGGCAATTCTGCACCCAGCTCCTTGGCCAACCATGTCCTGAACTCCATAGCAATCAACGAATCCACACCATTGTCACGAATCGACCTGCTTGAATCGATTTGGTCGCCAGCCACGTTCAGCAGGACAGATAGTTTCCTGTTGATTCCGTTGGAAACGACCTCCGCAGCCTCATCGCGGCTCTTGGCCGTGGCGAGAAGCGCCTGGACGTGGTACATTTGCGTGTCACCTCCAGCTTGGTCGCCGGATGTGGTTGTGTTGCGGAGGATTGTGTATGCCGGATAATTGAAGCACTCTGGCGGAGGTACACCGCGGTCTTGGAACGATTTCACGGTGCCGAGACCAAAGATAACCTGGCAGGTTGACTCGGTGAGAGAGTGGCGTGGATCAATGAGATATTCAACCATAGAGTGGACTTCGTCTTCACGCATTGATCCGATGGTCCTTGAAACGTGGCGGGTGTAGTCCTTGTTTTCAGCCACGAAACCAACAGATAGGACGC